ATATATATATATATATATATATATATATATATATAGACCATATTTTATACTACTCAGTCAATACCTATGCCGGGCCAGAACATAACCTAGTTTTGGTCTAGATGCATTTTTTCTAATTAATGCATGATGATAAATGCCTGCACTTATCTGCGCATTTCAATCATGAATACTGTTTTAGATATTTATTATGCATGATCTCTTTGTAATAATTTTTCTCTCTCTTTTTTTTTTTTTTTTTTTTTTTTAATAAAATTGGCTTACAACCGAACCCAACGGAATAAAACCCGTGATTTAACGTACACTACCCTCTTCACTTTGATACTGCTAGGGCAATGCTCTTGCCGTTGGCAGTTTGTAATGAGTTAATGTACAGCAGATGGATCAAGGCATAAGTTAAAGTACTGTAAGAGATCTGCTAGTTAATTACCAGTTGTTAATTTGATTAATTAACATTGTATTACAATCCTTGTTGGCAGGTACTAATAATATTGATGCAAATCTAATTAACAAGAGGGTTTCGGTAACGGGAACCGATGAATCGATAGACGGTTGACTATACCTGTAAAATGTTTCTTCTGCAACTGGATATATATTAAACCAATTATTGCAGCTGCTAATTATTAACTGTGAGCTAATTGTTAATTTCTTATATAAAAGGTGCCCTCTTTTTTGTTTAATAACTATAAGTAGTTGTTTACTTTAGAAGATTATGTATTTCAATTGAGAATTATTCTAGCTAATTAATTAATTAGTGGAAGCATGGCTGGTCACAATGCTTCAAATCTTGAATACAGTTAACATTTTTCTAATGCATTTTTATAGTTTAATTTATCTGTAATTAACTATATTTTTTCTGCATCATGTGATTAATTATATGCATCCGTGTGTCTGTGTGTGGTGTGGGCTCTATTTCATTCTTATTCCATTAATCGTATTTTTTTCTTTTCAATTTTCTGCAATTGATTTATTATTAAATATATTAATTAATAATGTAATTCTTCCTATAATTAACTCCTTGATATTCTTTTCTGACCATTCTGCAATTCAAAACAAATTTTCAGTATTAATTAAGTCGTGTTTGGATTCAAATGAACAACAAAAAAGGAATTTCTTTCGGACAACTTTTGTAATTTCAATTTTCAATGCCTTAACGCCGAAATGAGGTCTGAAAGTGGTCACATGCCGCTTGACTAAGAAAAGCGACTTTTACTTATAAACAAGAGTTGCTAAAAGTAATTACACAAGTACAAAACAACATAGTATATAATTCTGATTCCAGCAATTAAAAAAAAAAAATCCAAAACTATCGTAAATCAAAATTCAAAAGTTCTACTAAATAAATTAATTCAATTTTTTTTTTTGTATCGACGACCCTTCGAATAAATTAGCCATCAATTTTTTTAATGATTAATGAGTAGTGTTTAATTTCTTTATCAAGTTGATTAATTACTTTCCGAATCATCATTAAAGCATGTGGTACAATGCTCTCAATTTAGGGACACATGGTCTATGTATGTCACTACATTTGGTGTTAGTGAAATTATTTTATAATTTCTTTCTTCTTCAAGAAATTATTAAAAATTAATATTTCGAATATTTTATAAAAATGCTATAAACAAAGAGTACTAACATTAGGTAGAACTACTCTTTAGTTCATTAACCCTAGACAATTGAGCCCACTTTCATATTAATATATACTATATAGTACTTATTTATTAATTAAATAAATACTTATCTCAACCGTGTGTTTGCTTTCACTACTAATGAAAGCTTTAAGCCTTTTGGCAATCCCAATGTCAGCCACAAAATCATTTTATTATAAGTGGATTCATATACATACACATTGCCTCAAAAGTTATAGGATAAATTACGAAAAAAGCACTCATGTAGGCTAATTATAACCTTCGACTATAAATTTTATTACACAACTAGCACTGTGGTATTAAATTTAATTGAATATTTTAGATTATGTGAAATATTCTCCAATTTATACTCGTTTTAACCCATTCTCCACATTTTGAAACAACTCGTAAGATGAGTCTCTTGGCTTGTAAATATCAGATTGATGTGCATAAAAAAAACTCCATTTTTACACAAAACGAGCACAAACTAGATAATATTCCACAAAATCTAGAAGATTACGTTGAATATGACACTATATAGGTGGACATGTAAGAAGATTCATAGTTGAGGGATAATCGTAATTTACCCAAACAATAGGGTTTTTTTTGCAATTTAACTTTACCACAGGGGTTAGACCGTAATTTACGCAAAATTATGTACATATATTATCGAAATGGTCAGGTTTTAGGTAAAGTTGCAGTGACAATTTGATTTTTTAGTTATTTATATTATTGTAAAGGAATTAATGCATGGATTGAATCAAGAAGCCACTTCAAAAAAAAAAAAAAAAAAAAACAAAAAAACACAGAGATGCACATTTGTTCTGGCAATAGTCCAACAACACACTTAATTCAGACCAAGATTCATAGGAGAGTTAGATCTCCAGCAAACCCCAAAATGAGATCTAACTAACTCATATTAAATTCCCACTACACAAAAACTGCAAATTAATTTCACCAAATTTGCAACGAACCCCCCAAAAAAACAAAAAACGGTACTATACATCCCTGGATTTTTTGTGGTCTATCACCTCTTGTGATGGAACCTCACCTTCAGTAGGAACTGCATCTTAACCTGCATAAAAAAAATAAAAAAAAATAAATAAATATACATGAGATTCAGACAGGAACATCGTACAGAAAAAAGTCAACCCTCACTCGAAAACAACTTTTGGTTTTTTTGCAGCACAGAAGAAATACTTACTTGAGCTGTATTATAGACAATGTATTCGTTATACATAAGCTCGGACGCCTTGACTTTTGATGCCACCGGTTTTCCACAAGGTACAACTACGTCCCTCCATTCCACATATTCCGATTCTAGCGGCACTTTCTTCCCAAGCCCTTTTGTCGAGTGCTTCCCTTTTGGAGGCTTATCCATATACTGATAATTTAGTTTCCAAAAAAAAAAAACGATAACAAATTAGTATTAAGGAAACACATATTCCAAGAATGTAGGAGAAAAAAAACCCGAGTTTATGGTTGTACCTGCGCCTTTGTTAACTCATGAACCTCGCCCAAGGCAACTTCGCTGAGAAGCATTAGTCCCACTGGATTCTTTCGGTCAGTAAAGCAGTATTGAGCACTTTTGCTGACTAGATCAGCAAAGTAAACTCCCTTCCCAAACTACACACATCCAATAATTTATTTATTATTTTTTTTTTTTAAACTTGCTATTATGATTTCGAACAAGTAAACAATAGAAAAAAAAATAAAATTAGAATAAACCATGTAGCCAGTTGACGGGGCTTCTGGAGGAGCAATTCTCAACCCTTGGCTAAGTATACCAATAAAATTGGTCAACCTTGACCCTGTAATGACACATAATATATACATTATTTATTCGTCCCCAATTGTTTTTTTACGTAAATATGCTCGAAGATATATATATATATATATCCAAGTAAATAGTCATTGTAATGCATAATAGATACAATATGAACCCACCGTGCCAGAGAAGCATCTTGTTCTTGAGTTTTGCTCGATAAGGGGCATACTTGTCCATTTCTCCTTGTCTTTCAAGAGAAAACACTTCCTCCAATTCAAGAGCCCATTCCTGCAAAATGATGTACATATTCAAAACACAAATTCGACAAAAGTAAAGAAAAACGGGAGTAGCGAGGAAAAAGAAAAAGGGGGACCCACTGTATGAGTAGGAGCATGCGTCGAATTGAGGTATTTCTCAATCAGTTGAAACTCCTCACTGTCACGAGAAAGAGGAGAAATATCGCAACGTAATTTTTGGTACTTGTCGTCAACTGAGTCGTCATTGTCTGTATCGAGACCAACGAGGCTAGATGCTATTTCAATGTCTTGTAGTGCTTCCAGCATTTTCACCTAATGAAAAAAATCATTGCACTGCTAAGAGACGACGGAAAGAAATAAATCCATTTTTTTTTTATAAAAAAGATTGTACCTTCGATTTAAAGTCGTCCTCGTCCTTAATAACGCGTGGATGGATAGAAGGAATAACCGTGAAAAATTTGTTGCTGGCATCAACTATAAGATTCTCTCTGATGCTAGGAGCATAAGCAGTGCTGCTCAACAAATCCTGTATTTGTGTTAACGCCTCGAAACCTGCAAAAATTATAAACATAAATTCCACATCGGTACTTTGGAGGAAGATACGACGAGGCTCGATAGATAAGACGCACCTTTTTGGATATTACTTTTGCTAAGTTTTCCCAGTGGCATTTCTGATAAATTGATCTCGAATTCCATCATAGCAGCCCTACAAACTTCGATCGATCAGATCCATCATAAAATCATAAAAATCGTAATTTTTGTATTTTTTTTTTCATCATAACAAAACAAATTCAAATACCTGTATGTCTCGACATTGAAAAGCATCTTCATCAATTCCGCCAACTGAGGTGCAAGTTTGCTGCTACTGAAATTAAGCTGCTTTCTAGACAAATCTTTCACCCCGTAATCCTACAATCAAATTTATAGCATTTCAAGATTTTGATTCTATTGCTTCAAATAAAATTCCGACTAACGGGGAAAGAAAACGAAATTAGCGTACAATGTCCAAAGGATAGAATCTGCCAGGTTGCTTTCGGAAATCTTTCTTATCTTCCCACGCCTCCCATGAGTTGCCAGTTTTCTCTAGAAACAACCGTTTGAATTCTTGTATGGCACAAGTTTTCGACATTTGTTCCAATTTTGTCCCGCCAATTTTTTCGTTTCCAACTCGACCCCATTTCCGGAACACATGGCAGTTGGAGTTCTTATCATCTTGAATGATTTGAAGGATATAATAACTTCACATGGAGTACACAAAAATCAGACTTCACGAGTAAATAAAGAGAAGAGGCAATAAGAAAAAAGAATTTACCTATTAACACCGGTTGACAAGTCGGACATATTCAACGTTGTATTGTATATACTTTTTCCGTCGTGAAGAATATGCCCGGAATCTTGTAAGCCAGAAGACCCGTGCACAGCACTTTGCCCTTTAACTTTCACCTTAACAGTCGACACACCATGCGTCTTTTCAATGGACTCAACTAGGTACGAGGCAAAGGGGAGTTTTTGCTGTCTTTTAAAGCACTCGATCAAATATTCTACCCTCACAATTGGCAATTTCATCCTCCTGTCAACATGGAACGAACAGTTGACTGAGAAGGAAAAGTCGGGCCGCGACTAATGGAAAGTGTCTTACGTTTTGCAATTTAGCATCATTACCTTGCCTTCTTTACCTCAGCGGCATTGTCGTCCAACATACCGTTTACAACGAAGCAATTGGTTCCTTTTTTTATTTTCACATGAAATTGTCCACCTGCTCCCTCAATTTTCTTCTTCCACTCCTCCTGCCAAAAAAATAAATAAATTTATAACTAATCACGAAAGCCCTTCATAAACGCTACAGTTATTATCTGTTGAATAAGACGAGAGAACGAGGAAAAAAAAATAATAATAGGAAAAAAAAACTTACCATTGATTCTTTAGGTATTCCAGCAATGGCAACTTGTAAGTCTCCAATACTTTCAACCTTGAACGATTGACTTAGCTCATTAGAGGGTTGACCGCTGCCAGATGGTCCGAAAGGTGAATTTGGAGGGAGCACTCGTTTTGGTTTATTCACCTTTTGCGACTTAAACCACTGTAAATATTTTAGATTTTAGATTTGTTTAAGCATTACTCAGAAGTAAGTAATCCCGCTTGTAACTAATGCTTCTCTAGTCATCCGACTTACCTCGAGAAGATAATGATTGCCCGTTTCTTCAGGGATTTTCCACTTCCCATTAACACGTGGAGGCTCGGTTGTAGAATACGAACACTTAGTCCACTCTGACAAATATCCACCGCATCTATACATTCCCGACGAATAACGGAGCCATCCAGAACACATTGGGCATTTGTCAAGTGCTCCAAAGAACATTCCGTCAGCACTGACCAGTACGCAAAAAAAAAAAAAAAAAAAAAAAATTGAAAATTTCGTATACCATGATAAATAATTAACTTCTATTTCCAAAAACTGTACGTAAGGAACGAAAATATTACCAGCGTTCCCTCAGATCGAACTCTGATCCTTTCGAGTCCTGCTCATTGGCTTCAAGCATCGCTCTTAACTCTGATGTAACGACGTACTTTTTCAGATCATCTTTAACGGTCCACAGATCCTTAGTCTGCATCTCTAGTTGGCTTTCCAAAACAGCCGCTTCAGATTTTTCATCTACCAAGTTTTTACTTTTAACACTACTTGAGTTCGAACACGCATTTACTGCAGCTTTAGAAACTTTCAATTTCTGATCATTTTCAACGGCTCTTTTCCTCTTTGCACCACCTTTGTTTGCTGATGATTCGAGCACAAGTTCCTTCTCCTCTGAAACAAAAAATGTGAGTGATGTGGACAAAAGAAACCAACCAGTCAACACAAAATCAAACAATTCGAACCGTTTGCTGTCTGAGGATTCTTCTTAACGAATGCAAGAACTGTAGCACGGTCGGAGGGTGATAGACTTTCCCATCCAGAAAAGCTCTCCACTCGAGATTTCTGTGATGCTTCCATGTAACACTTGGCATGGTTCCAAGCCAACCCTCTTGCACCTTGGCCTTCAGGCTTGGTTGATATCCGAATCTAAGTAAAAACGGCAACCTTAAAAACTAATTTAAGTTTAGTGTATTACCTTAAATTATCGGTTTAAGTCGTAAAATTATGTACCTCTCCCTTCATAATCTTTTCGTTACAGCAGCGACAAGTAGCACGAGATGTTTGTGAAACTTCTATGCCACATTGTACAACTGCAGAAGCAGAAGCTGAAGCTGAAGCAGAAGCAGAAGCAGAAGCAGAAGCTGGAGAATTCGACACCGCAGCACTATTAATATACTTTCTGATCTTTTCCTGATCTTCCCAACGAAGCGATTCTAGCCCTTCAACATCATCAACCCTGAAAATTATGCGTGAATTGGGAAATGTGTACAAGGAACAATTATTTTCACTTTTCTATTTAGTAAAGACAAAGATTGATTCAATTGGATATACGTACAATTTTATCTGCTTCGGTTTCTTTAAGATGCAAGAAGCATGGTTCCACATCTGGCTCCACAACAAACAATCTCGTGTCAAGTGGCATAAAGTAAATGAAGACTAATATTTTACAAACATCTTGATAATGCGATATTCTTTCGAAAGAATTAAGTCAAGAATCAGTAAAATAATTAGTTCAAGAAACTCAAAAGACATCAGAAACTACCGGTAAAATACAGAAATAACCTCTGAAATAAAAATTAAATGCAGGCATAAATAAAGATAAATAAACCTTAGACAGACACAAACTTGAAAAATAGAAGCAAAAAGGAAAAAACCCACATTGTCAATAAGAAAAAAATAAGTAAAAGGAAAGTGGATTAGGGTTTTATCAAGAAACATTAAGAAGGACTACTAATTATCATAATATGGAAGTTAGAGAGAGAGAGAGAGAGAGAGAGAGAGAGAGAGAGAGAGAGAGAGAGAGAGAGAGAGAGAGAGAGAGAGAGAGAGAGAGAGAGAGAGAGAGAGAGAGAGAGAGAGAGAGAGAGAGAGGGAAGGAAGGGGGGAAAATTACAGGCATGAAGCCATCAAAATGGGAGGATTGAACCATCTTGCCGAGCCTGAGAATCTCCTTGTTAATGGGAATCTTGCAAGTCTTGCATGAAGATCTTGATGACTTTGCATACTCTGCTTTCCATGGCTTCGGAGGGTTCGCCATTTCCCACTTTTCTCTCTCCCTTTTTCTTCAAGAAAAATAACTGTTCGGATTGCTTTTTAAAGACTTACTAAAACACAGTGTACAATGGAAGGAACAGAGGAATCTTTAGGAAATAGAAATATTAAACGCCCGATTCTTTATTATTCATAGTAACCATTTGGGATAGTTTACTACTAATTTAGAGCCCTAAACCTTGAAACAGATTGCCAAGAAAGGAACACAGAATTCTTACAAAACGACGCCGTTTCATTTATTATATAGTATATTTCTAAAATTGAATTATTATTTTCTTTTTTCAGACACCTCTTTACTAATGAATATATTGTATATTTCCATCTGTTTTGGGCAATTTAGAGGCCCATTTTTTTGTCTGGGCTTTTTATCTGTAATTTTTAGGCCCATATTTGCATATTTGGGCTTTTTTATCTGCAATTTCGAGGCCCATTTTTGCGTCTTTGGGCTTTTTTACTAATTAATAATCTTTTCCATAATGTAGTTTGATTCCTTCATTCAATTGTAATATTTTTATTTATACTTTTCATTCTTCAATAATTTTCCAGAACAAAATCGAGTCATTACGTGTGAACCATCCATCATCGTTCCACAAAAAAAAAAAAAAAATATTGTCACAATCTAACATTGAACTGTCATGTAAATAAGTAGTAATCTTGGTAGCACATATACCAATTTTGTTTCCATAAAATGTATAAATATTTTTTTTCCATAATGAAGAACTCGAATCGGTTCTTCAACGGCTCGAATCTCGTAACGGAAGAAACGCAAATGCAACTTTACTATGAAGCTTGCTGCACTTGAGGGGTCTGCATGAAAAGGTACTGCAGAAGAATACAATATCTCAGATGGAATGTATTCATAATTATTACAAATTACGAAATTTCAATTTGAGTTCAATTAATTACCTCAAAGGATTTTCCCGATCTCTCAAAGTCGAGCATGCTGAGAGCAACTTCACAGCTCTGCGAGACGATAGGCTCCGGGTCCTTGGCAAATTCCTCCAGCAGAGCAATGCATCGATTGTCTAAATAAATTTTAAAAAATAGTAAAATTTTATTTTCTTGTAAAAAATTACATTAATCCAATCACACATATAGACAGAAGCTAAACCTGCAATAGAACCAAGAGCCTCAGCTGCTTCATGTCTAACCATAGGATGTTCGTTTACGTCTCTAAGAACATCGGATAGTGCATCCGAAGCTTTCTTGTTCTGCAGTTGCCCCAATACATACGCAACCTGACCACAGAATTCCAAAATGTTACAAAATCGATCAGAATTTACGCATAAGCTTTTTTTTTTTCTTTTGTAACTACCTAACACCATTCGATAATAAGTACCAATACTCTAATAGCTTCGTACGTAGTGCTTAACAAATAATTGAAAGAAAAATCTTCCACTCAGTGAAAAGATTATATAAAAATACTCGGGTTATCATTTGGCATCAAGAACATTGCCTATCAAAAAGCAGTTCTATCTGCTCGTTACCATATTCAGCGTGAACTCCAATATAACTACGGCATCACGTGTAACAATTCCACTCGCAAATTGCAAAATTTCTAGCAATCAGAATTCATAACTTTGAATACAGCATAAATAAAATAGAGAAGTACACACTTCAAATCATCCTAGGCACATGAAGCCGGAAAAGGGTCAACAAACCTCGTGTCGTAGCAAAGCACTATTTGCACCTAGGGACTCCACAATAGCAGAGATAGCTTCATCTTCGCCGAGGTTTCTAAGAGCAAAAAGAGCAGCATAACGCTCGTACATGCTCTTCTTTTCATTCAATAAAACTTCCCTGAAAATTGTACAAATGAATCAAGCAACAAAACGAAGCTACTTCAAAAAATCAAGAATCTATCTAACATCTGTCGAGAAAGACAACCTAAGTTCTCGTAGAGAAGAACAAGTAGCAGGGGCAGCAGGGTCAACCGACAAGAAAGGAGATGATTCGGAGATGGTTGTATTCTTCATCTCCTCAATTCGACTCAGGGCTAACTCACAGGTTTCTCTAACTTCCTGAGCTGGATCCGAGGCTAAACTTTGCTTAAGAAGTGCAATATTACGTTCTAATCCAATTGCACCAAGAGCTTCTGCAGCCTGCACAAGTTTACACGAACAATATAAAGCTTGTGTACATGCTAAAACATCGAAGAGTCAAAATCACAATACCTCGTGGCGAACAATGGGGTGCAACGAAAGATCATTCAGAACAGTTTCTAAAGCGGGGATGGCTTCCGAATCTTGCATCTGACCCAAAGCAAACGCGGCCTCGTGTGCAAGCAGGTTTGAGGTATCTCTAGTTGCTGAAATTAGAAATGTTTGCTCCATCAAAGAATTATGGTGCAGCTCATTTTCCCATAATCACATATCAAAAAATAAAATAAAAATTGAAGAGCTTATTAAACCCCCAAATAATAAAAAAAAAAATCGTAGCTTTAGAAATTCGATTTTCTCATAAACCTAAAAAAGCCCAATCAGAATCAGCAGAATATTTGTAAGTCTACGAACATATATACCTTGGATAAGCGCATTTCTGGGTGCAGCGCCGCGGAGGTTGCGGAGAGAGAAGAGGGCTCTAAATCGCTCTGAGATTGGTTGGTTTTGATCCAACAATTGCTGGCACAGAAATTTCTCCGTTTCCGGCGAGACTTGGAATGAACGTTGGGCATCCATTTCAATAGAGCAAAACCCTAGCTCCCTCGAAGATGAAACTCACAGATTGCTAGGGTTTTGATGCCCAACTTGATTGGGGGTGGCGTGATTTTGCCGCGGAAATCTTTATACCGACTTTGAAGCTGGAACCCGTTAAGGTCGGAATCCGGGTTCGGGTCACGACTTACTATAAAATAAAACCAGACCCGGAAAAAAAAACCCATTTTGTAAAGCCCGAACTCGACCCACATCCTCTGACCACAAAAACTGTGGGTGCCTGCGAGTTGCGACGATCGACACCGCTGTCACCTCCCGTCGGAGTTGTCATTTGTTTGAATCTCATTAATCAGCAGCGTTTTTCACCAGTTGTTCTGCGCCGATCTGCTGCTAATTGAATCTCCGCTGATCCACCGCTTTGAGGTATTTTGAGGTTCCTCGAATCAGGTATGGATTATTCCCCCTTCTTCTGTATTCCTTTTTCAATTTCATTTCCTTGATTAGGATTTAATCAGAAAAAGAAAACCTTTTGGGACGAGTAAACTATTGCTTAAATCCTTATTATTTGTTGTGGTAATTGGGCTGATTGTACATTTTAGTGTGCTTTTCTATCAATAGAAAACCAAAATCTGATTATTATTCAATCAATTCTGTAAAAGAAACCTAAATTCTTGATTTCCGGTCAGAATGTTTTCGTTTGTTTTTCTTGCTTGTCGGATTCAGTTTGACAACTAGTTTGAGGCATTGTATGGCATGTCTTGCTCGTTTCATCAGATAGGTGCATTCAGAAGTCGAAGCACTGATCATGTTATGATCGAAACCGTGACCATAATCTTGGGATTCCATTGCCAAAGCAGAAAGCACAAATGTTTCTAGCTTATCTTTCCTTGCATATCTTACATTCGTGACACCTATGAGCTGTGATGGTTGACCTTATTAGCATGATAATAACGTCGTACATTTTGAACAGACTGAATCACTCAATACTTCATTAGTTCATATTCAGCTAATTTGCAAGCTATTTATTTAATTGGCCTTTCATTTTTTGTGTAGCTTTTAGGATTGTGTGATGGGGTCTAGCAAAACTGAAGTGAATTTGAGACGGTTACTTGCAGCAGCTCCACAGCAACAAAATCAAACAAAACTCGTACATGTATGTTCTGAGTCCTCAAAAGTCGAATGTTCAATGATCATAGTTCAAGAAGTATTCTGTTTCCATTTAAGCATGTGTTTACATGCATTTTGTAGCTAGTATTGGGACAGTTCAGAGAGAACATGAGTATATATCCCTTGTATAATTCTTGGGTTTCTGTTGACCTCTTACATTTTTATACTTGTTGATAAGTGGGTACTTATTCTTTTGTATGTGATGGTAACTGTATAGTATGTTGCCACTCTGCGCGAGCAACTGGAGCAACTGGCTGAAGAGAGGAGTCCTGAAGGTCTGCCGAGGTTAGTGTCACTTTCTCTTGAGCTTTAATATTATCCACATAAGATTGGTGACTTATCTTCGATCTTTTTATGTTAGATCAAATATATTTGTGATACGAATGCACAATATAAGTTGCTGTATTGATGAGGTTCTATCATTTGCATCTTTGTTTAGTGCATAAAATCCCCTTTAGCTAACTGATTGCTCAGTTTCTTAAGCATGTGATTTTAATTTTAGTGTACACCATAAAAAGTTATAATTATCAATTCACGTTGTTGATGATATTCAGTAAAGATGGTAAATTTTTAAAGAGATTTTGTTACAGTGAGTTGTTCAAGATCGCTATCGTCATTAGTTCTACGATGACTATATATCTTTTAGCTGTGATATGGATTTAATGGTGTCATTTGATTGATAAGGACCTTAAGCATAACAGCGTCTCTTTTCGAATAATGGAGATTATGTGTGATTTGTTTAGTGAAGTAATCTGTCTTTTGCTTAGCCCCCTTCATACCAGACAAGAAATTCTAAAAGAGTTTTGTTCGTTAATTGACTGCTCAGTATGAACAAAAACCGTCAATTTGATTAGTTAACGTCTATAGGTTTGATATAAACCGTACACTAGTACACTTCCTCTGTACTACTTCATTCTCTTTCATATGCTACACTGTAAGTTGGCATATGAGTTCAATGCTTTCAGCTTTTCCTTTTATACATTAGTCTTTAAGTCTGTAACCAGATGAAATCGGGAAGTCTTATATTTACCTTTTCCTTTAATAACTCTTGTTGTGTCAGTCTTTCTACAGAGTTTCAAAAGCTCAATTGAATGAATATTCAGAGAAAATTGAAGCTATAGCAGCCAAACTAGCAGTCACCGAGGTGCGTTTAGATGTGAGGTGTTTACTTGTTGAATCTTGGTTTCCTTACATTTTTTGTAGTAAATTTCAGTTGGTTTATAGAACATTCAAGGAAAAGCTAAAGAGGCATATCCCTTACATTTTAGGTTTTATTACACTCTAATATTTTATCTCTAACGGGCCCATTTCTTGTGAGAATTCCAGTCCAGTACTCAATTTTCTCCGGAGCCTTCTCTTGAGAAAATTAAGGTGAGGGAATCCCCTTCTACATCAGAGAAAGAAATTATTGGCTCTCCAAGAGGACTGAGAAGAAGATTTTTGTACGTCAAATGCCATCGATGCTATCATTTTTCATTATATGCTATCACATATGTTTCGAAATTAACTTTCTGTTCATACAGGGCTTCGTCGGATGATAGAACCCCCAATACTGTTGAGGATACTGACACTACAAAATCTGTTAAATTGGATACTGCAGCACAGGCTCATATTGAGAAACACAGGTATTGTTACTGCTTATGAAGTTTGTCGAAGATGAAATATTTTCATAATTATACATGCATTTAACGTGAAGTGATATATATTGTTTGCTACAGAAAACTACAAGAAGATTTGACAGATGAAATGGTTGGTTTGGCAAGACAACTCAAAGAAAGTAGTCTTATGATGAATCAATCCATCAAAAACACCGAGAATGTGAGTCGAATGTTGTTTAGTGATATGGTTAAGTCAATCCCTTATTTTTCCGTTGCTCTTTTTCTTTACATCAACACCATTCTTCATGCATTGTAGATACTTGACTCGACAGAGAAAGCTGTCGAGCACAGCTTGGCAAGCACTGGGCATGCAAACTCACGTGCAATGGAGGTCTACTCTCAGAGCATGAAAACGTCGTGCTTCACATGGCTACTCATGTTTGCCATGATGTGCATATTCGTCATGGTCGTTTTGCTTATACGCGTTACTTAGAATATACGAGCAAGTTTCCAATAATCAAAACCATGTACTTCTGTTCTAAGTCGTCGTGTTTATCTGTGATGTGTAAAGAATAGAGATTGGTGCTTGCGATTAATTTAAACAGGTAGTTGTTTGGACCATATGTTTTGTCCTGTCTTATGTTTTGTTTTCAAATCATTTTTGCTTTGGTAGGAAAGAGTGTTGTCTGAGTTAATGAAGACTAGACTCTGCGGAGTCTCTTTCTTGTCTGTATTTTTTTGCGTTAAACGTCGTAACAGTGACGGCGATATGACTCGGTCCAATTAATAAACTATTACATATATTCCTAATGACAAATATTCAAGTTGGAAGAATAATTTGGAGAATATTTCAAACCTAAAGAACTGGAACCAATAGATTCTCAGGATGGGCATATTCTCAGGTGTGTTTTGAGTGGAATCCAAACCCTAAAAAAATAAACTTTATCGAAACAAGGAACAAGATGACAAAGGTTAAACGATCGAGCATATGAAATTAGAGTATGAAAAAGCAAATTATGGAGTACAATCAATTCCGATCCACGTTGCACGACTACGAACACAAGTATAAACCCTAATGCTATCTAAATTAGGGTAGCTATATAGACTGTAGAAGGAAACAAGACTATCATTATAAACAATCTCTTACCAACAAATTAGTAAATAATGAATCATCCCATCAAGAAATATTCATCACCAAATTCTTGGACTGCACATACATACATATATATATATATACTACATATCATCTTCCTTATATATGCATTAATGTTAATTATTTATCTTGGAAATTAAAACAAATAATACCATTTATTACAAAACATCTTGAAGATGTATACATACATAAACTTATAAGTAAGTACATATTGTTCATGAATCATAGCTATAGCCAAGTCGAAGCTCCAAATCCAGCTGCTCCTCTTCTTTTTGATTCATCATCACCTCCTGTTTGTTCTTATCTTCTTCCTGCACAATATTCATGGGAGAGAATTCCAAGCTCAATCTCAACCGCCAGTTATCTGCAGGAACCACTATTGGATGATCGGACGGCTGTCGATATTCATTATTGTAGAAACTGGGTTGCTGGTGATGATGATGATGAGATGCAACAAAATGATTTGCTGATGAAGGTGAAATAATTTGCTGGTACATCCTGGGGCCGCCTGTGTTGTACAACATTTGTCGTTCTCGTTGGTTCGATGACGTGGCGGTACTAGGTTTATTATGATAATGATTATTATTAGTAGTACGAGGATGATGATTAGCAATGATATTAGTACTAGAGGTTCTTGAAGAAGGTCTAGTATGTTTTCTGTGGATGTTCATGTGGCCACCCAAAGCTTGTGCAGTGTTGAAACCCCTCTTGCAGAACACGCACTCGTACGATCTTCCCACCCCCGCCAATTCCTCCTCCTCTTCCTCCTTTTCTCCTTCTTCCGATGATGATGACGTCATCATGTACTGCGTCCCTTCCTCAACATGTGAGTTTATTACAATCGATTCATGAAAACTGGATCCCATTAATTATAATTACTTACAACTTTCTTCGAATTTCTCAACTCAATTCTTTTCTGAAAGTATATCTATATATGGTCTAATTCTTCAAGAGAGAGAGAGAGAGAGAGAGAGAGAGAGAAGGGTTTAGGTATATATATATATATATATACACACATATAATATAAAAGGGAAACGGTCAAGTTTGAATTTTGTTTGAAAGACTGTTTCTTTTCTTAATGCCGGCTAGATAATCGTTTTTCTTTTATATTGCAAATTGCCAAGCACAAACACACACAAACAAACACCATTTAATTAATTATATTGATCTCTCTCTCTCTCTCTACACTTTTTAGGTATATATAAATAAATGGCTTGGATTTGATTTGTTTTTCAGTCATGCATCATATATAATTAAACATCTAGATTTGAGATCCTTCATGCCTGGGATAACAATATATATATCACAGTTTGTAGTTTTCATTTGTCTTATTTAATTTCTAGTTAATATATAATAATAGTAATTACTCAATTTCAATGTTGCATGCATCAGCTGTTATTTGCATATGCATCCATCCATCTCGAATATCTAATGATGAACTAAGCCATGATCTCAGATGCATCAAAATCAGATGCAGCAATTATTAATCTTTTGTAAAGTATATATATCACCTAAATTAATTGAAAACTGTTGTTGATGGAAAAACTCATATATTTCACCTAATACCATATATATTGGTTAGTAATTAATTAATTAACCTCATATTAAAATGGCAGCAGACACTATATATATTATATTATTGCATGTTACCTTATAAAATTAGTGTAATGAGAATTCAAGAAGGTAACAAACAGTATATGCTCTCTACCTCTCTCCTGCAGGCCCAGAATATAGTATGCTATAACCGGACCGGCCGGGTTTTCACTTTTCAGTCAGAATTGAATTGGCAAGTTTTCTTGGCTGATCATATTAAAATAATTTGGAAAATATTAATTAATTAATTAAAATAATTTTGAAATTATATACGTTGTCAATAATAGTAGATATAAAAAGTAAATTGATAGTATAATATTGGTACAAGGTCTCCTGGGATTTAGGGAAGACAAAAGGGATTGGAAGTAGTTAGCATTAATGTTCTGTATTAATATGAATTAGTGCTTTGTGATGTAAGTAATTATGTTCTTTTCACGGTAAAGTTGACTTGGTCTCAATTATTAATCACTTTGGAATTTGTTGAGAATATTTTGTTGGCTTCTTAATTAGTTCAAGGACAATGAGAAGATTTCAAAAAAATATTAATATTACTAGTAAATAATAATAATAATAATAATAATCACAAACTAGTATTAGTGTTAACAATGAATGGAGAGGGCTCGGGCCCGGGCCCGGGCCCAAATTGAGAAAGCCGAATATTTTATGGGCTCAATAATTTTAGTTCAGCCCACTATTAGTTTTCGGGAAAGCCCGTCAATGCAGAAGTTCAGAGGCCCATATATTCATGCAAGTAATTATAAATTATTATATAAAATCGACCAACCCTTAAAAATGAATCAATCAGATAGACTTTAAGTACTGTTGTCTCTGTATGTGTGTGTGTGAGAGAGAGAGAGAGAGAGAGATCTAGAGAGAGAGAGGGGAGTAGAGATACAAAATGAAGTAGAGAAAGTATGTAATGAAATTTAGTGAAGGGAAAGGGACTAGCTATATATTATTATAGGACATATGACATGCATGCATGCATGAATGAATGGTGAAGAAATTGATTGCAGAGAAAAATATTAAAGGTGGGTGATGACATATATACAGTCATACATATATATATATATGCATGTATGTGTGTACCTAATTAGCTTTATATGACATGCATGCATACCCATACTCTGTGATCATAACTTTTGTCTAAAATAAATTAACTTTCACGAAAATAATACAACTTCTGCCACTGCCAGATTTCTCATCCTTCCCCAAAACTACTACTTCTTTTGTCTTCCTTTTTTCACCTGTTGATTATCCATCCATCCTTTCTTACGTCTCTCTCTCTCTCTCTCTCTCTCTCTCTCTCTCTCTCTCTCTCTCTCTCCTCACTTAGCAATTAAGTGAAGAAATGGTGTTTTAATATTTTGAAGAAATTGAACTATTAAAAATATTAATAATGTGTTACCAAAAAGAGAAAGGTCATGATGCCACTGACACCCAGGCATTTGTTGGGAACATGCAAACGGTAACAGATGTTGGAAAATGCAATTAAATATCCCTTACCCATTTTTTTTTTTTCATTTTTATTATTATTATTACAAAAAAACACACACACACACACACACAAAAGTACTTTAACTAGCTAGTTACTACACCACCACCACTACTACTACTGGGACTAGCAGTTATCATCATCATGTCACAAAATCATGATCAACTCTCAATTGACTTTAACCTTAATTCTCTGTCTTTTCCATTTTATTAATTATTTTAATTAATATATATATTTTATATTAGCTTGTGGATCTTGTACTCTGAAATATGTATGATGTGTTGTTCCCTTTGTGCTGAAAGGAATTTAATGAAGTTTGGAGTGACTGATATGTATTAGGTAATCTGAATCATGAATTTGGACATTTGCCAGCTACTCTAACATTTACATATATATAATTAATGCATGTTTTTTTCATCATCATCACTTTTTTTTTTACTTGCAATTAAGTTTTCACAAATTTAATCATTTTTTTTTAATTTAGATGCACTGCAATATAATTAATTATAAGTCGTCATTTATCAAGCAAAGAGTTAGATCACAATATATATTAATTATATCAATATAATATTCATTTGATGCATGCATCTCAAGAATTTGTTGCCGAAACCAAAAATTCAGAAGAAAAAATATAATAATAAAAATCATCATTTGATCTGATCATGTCGAAAACTATAGAGAACATAATTAACATTAGACCGTCGACAAGATCGATATATAATGCAGTCACTAAAAGAGAAGGAAGAAAATTAAAACGAACAAACGGGTACAGTTCCTACAAGTCCCTCTACCTCTCGATCGGGATCCGAAGCAAATACATATATAGAAACATATAATAACTAACGGTGAATGTTAATTAAGGATTGATCTCTCTTACAACTGAATATAATCTTGAAATAATAAATGAATCTAGAGCTAATTAAGAAGAGCCAAGCCTAAGCTCCAAATCCAAATCCAAATCTTGATGGTTTAAATTATCTTGATCAAACAAGCCGAGCTTCAAATCCAACCTAACAAAATCATTTCGATTATCCGAAACCCTAGCATCCTCCACCTTGTTCATGAACTCAAGCACTGCTGCCCCTTTGTTCTTGTTTTCCCGGCCATGATCTCCTCTGCAGACTACCGTGTTACTCTTCGTATAAGGCGAATAATAAGAATTAGTTGCACTAGAAGACGAGGGCATGTTCGGTAATAACAAGAATTCATGTTGATGTTGATGATGAGGTGTGGGAGGGGGAGCAGAAGAAGAGAGGTGAGAGAAACTAGGGTTAGGGTTAATAACAAGAGGGGGTGACAGCTGTCTCAACCTAGCCCTATCCCTCCTGTGTACATTCATGTGACCGCCAAGAGCTTGTGCAGATTTGAACTCTTTCTTGCAGAAGCTGCATCTGTAGTTCCTCTGCGGCCACGACAATCCACCGTACATCAGATCCTTCTCGAAGCAGCTTTGATTCTGATCGTTTGTCGTCGTCGTCGTTGTAATTATACCTTGATGGTGTCGAAGACGACCGTCCCTTGTCGTCGGATCCTTCATCGGCCTCTCCCCCGAGACCCACTTCATCTTCTCCATCATTTTTTTTTTGTTGTCGATCTTTTACAACAAGATCGAAAAAAACAAAAACAAGAATTAATCAAGAAAGAAAAAAAGTAAGATAGATGTAGAAGAAGGAGAAGGATGTAATTGTTTAGTGAGAGTGATGAAGAAGTATTTATTGATGGAGGAGTAGAGTAGTTAGGCTGCAAAATGTGTGTATCTAAAAATGGGGGATTGCTTAAAGAAAGAGTGGAGAAGAATTAGGGTTTCTTTTTTTGCCAAATATAGATCAAATCTAGTGGATGTTTTGCACTCTTCCCATTATTACATCCCTTCTCCTAACAACTACGTCTGCATACGTACGTACCTACACCGAATTAATATTATTAGGGTAAATTACAACCACCCCTGAGGTATGGTTAAATTACGAAAACTCCCTTCGTGTTTGAGTAATTACAGTTATCCCCTTAACTACAAATATTTTTACACGTCCACCCTTGCGGTTTCATATTTAGTGGAATGTTTGAGATTATATGGAATATTATCACTTTTGTAACCTGGTTTTTCCCATTCGAACTTCACATTTTGAAGCAAGATGATCATAATATATGTTTTCGGCTTGTATATATCAGATTGTGATTCATCAGAAACTGTATTTTTACACAAAAAGAGTACAAACTAGAGCACATTCCATGAAATTTAGATGATTATGTTGAATTTGATACCATGAGATGGAGGTGTTAGAAAAAATCATAGTTGAGGGGGTTAGATGTAATTATCCAAACAAGAGGGGTTTTTGTAAATTGACCATACCTCAGGTGGTTGTAATTTACCCTTATTATTAATATTCTTTATTTTATTTAATTTTTTTTATTGTTATTATTATGGTATTTTCTTTTTTTTTTTTTTTTTTTTTTTTTTTTTTACGGTGCTTTTCTTATGTTAAAAAAAATGCATTTAATCTTACTAATTTCAACTATTTTGATCATATCTTCATTTCATGTGAATCTCGGTTACGCTTATTCAAGTTGAATTGGAAAACACGTGAAAAGGTTTACAGTATCCGCATTTTATTTGTAATATATTGAGATTCTATTGAAGCATGGTAAAAAAAAAAAAAATTACATTGGACCTTATCATATATCTAAAATTACATTCAAGTCAACTTTGGTCGTAACGAATTAAATATGTGTATTAACTGATGAAGAACTTATAATGTACCACCGGGTAAATAAATATGGGTATAAATACTAAAACCCAACAATTAGAGGGGCCATGCACAAAATATATATATGGCCCGGCCCGGCCCCCCCAAATATATATTTTAATGTAAAAACAAACAGTAAATATATTTCTTATTAACTCATATCTGCGACTACCACGCTTCTTCCCTGACATTTCCCAAGTACAATACCAAAATCAATGAAGATTAAGACATTTCAAAAACATTCTTACACATTCAAATAATAATAATAATAATAATAATTAATTAATGCCTATGTTTTCTTATTTTTATTACTACACGTGGTTTCATAACTAATTAGTTCCCACCTAATTTAAGATATATAATAATAATAAGGGATGTGATAAATGTTGTTCGAGCTTTAATAATAACTTTACGACTTCAAACGCGATTTTGAGTATTTTTAATTCCAATTTTTGCAAAACACAAAGAAGAGAATTTGTAGTATTCTGAGTTAATTTTCCTCCGTTACCTATTAAGTGTCGTTTTTGGCTTTGCACAAGGATTAAGAAGTTCAATAAATGTTTCTTGATTTTAGGTAAAATATATTAGAAAGACTAAAATAACTTTGATTATTTAATGATGTGATAAGAGAGAGTTAATACTTATAGTTGAATTAATAAGGTTAAAATAAGAAAAAAAAGCATTTAATGCAGTATTGGAAATTTAAAGTGACAGATAAAACGGAACAAAAATATTTTTAAAAAGAGACGGTTATTGTGGAACAGAGAGAGTAATATATATGCTTTTCTAAAATCTATCTATGTTGATCAAACAAGCCCAGCTACAATACGAGCCCTCGGATTAACTTTCCGTTTTTCTAACACGGTAATTTGGACCGTGGGATCAAAATCTTGAATAATCCAAGTGTATTAACACATTCAAATTGCTAGAGAATTATTTATGGTGTTCCTTAGTTAGGTTGCGGCAGTAAAAAGCTGAATCCCGAATTTTCTCGAATAAGTGGCGGTGGTTCAATGTCTGAAATATCGAACCGGTCCATCGATTTCGAAAGATCATCGACCGAAAACGGTATGCTGCATTGAAATATAAACAAGATTAAGACCAGCTAACGACAAAAGACAAAATCGACAAAATAATAATAGTATAACAATAAAAATGCTGAACCTTGAATCGTCGTCGAGCAGGAAAGAACTACTGACAGCGTTATTTGAATCCTCGGTCATCAATACTCTCATATTCGATATTACCTGCGAATAATAAGAAGTCCGTAAAGACGTATATATAAAAACATTAATTTAATTTGTGCTGGAAATTAATCGAAACTGCGTGTATTAATAAGTGGCTTACGTCTTGAGATAGGCTATGCGTGCCGTATTTGTCATCCCAGTACATGGTGCTGATTCTGTACAGCTGTTGAATGCTGAGGACCTGTAGAACATTGAAAAACACTTCGACGTAATAAAATTGCTGATTTCAGATAAAATTTCTTTCGAGAAAGTCAACATGCGAGACGACGACTACTTACGGGGCACAAATCATGACTTATTTCGTCCAGAGTCTTCTTCGGCTTCTGATGTATGACCTATTACAGTAATCATAGTAGATTAAAAAGGTTTCGTTTTTCATGCAAAGATTGAAAAAGGTTTCGTTTTTCATGTAAAGAACAGAGAAATAAGCAAAATACCAGGAATCCAATAGCCTGTCTTATATGCTTGAGCTCATCCCAAGCTGTACCTGCATACTGGAATATGCTGCAAATTTAGAGCGATAAACGGGACGAAAAAAACGAGCTAGATCCAAATTTTGCTAGAAATTAAGTACCTCATCAGTTGCCTTGTAACACCAATGCTCTAGCTCAGCCAATCCAGCCTTGACATATTCACCATTACTAAACGAACAGCATTCTCGTCTCAATAAAAGACTGCCGAATAAAAAAAACGAAACGACATTAGTCAACACTACAGGTCACCTGACGAGCTTTAGAAAGTGTCTTTGTCATTTCACTACACAAAAGAAATGTACTGCACCTGTTGAATAGCTGCACATTGATGAAGGAAAATATCTGAGTGAAAACTTTCCGAACTAAAAAGGGAGGTACCTGAAGATGGATTCGACAATAGCTTTTTCGTTACATATTAGAAAATAAGATGATAGCAATGCAAAAAGAATGGGGCAGCAAAATTTTTCTTACATGATTTGTTTTTAGGGTATTCAAAAAATTCCCGAGGCTCTTAACAATCCCTTGCCAGTGTGCAATTAAAATCTCCTGTGCCGCAGCATTGGCTAGCGTTCGGGCTGTTCCTTTCATTAAGTTTGCTCTCGATATTCTTGGAGCCTATATCCATCAAAACAACATATGCATGGCTATCATAAAAAAGAACCAGATTATTAGTTTCAATTAATTCTTATCAAATATGTCGAAAAGCTACCTGTATGCAGAGTCCGAGCTGTGGAGAAATCTCCTTCTTCAAATTGTCACGAATCATCCCATAAATTTTCTCGACATAAGCAGTGAGCTGCTGTTTGAACAGTAAGGCAGGGTACTTTGCATCTACTTGGAGTAAGCTACCAGCAGAATCATCATTTAGTACAGAAAGATTAACCCCCTGTGGTGTACTGCGAAAACTCTGTGAAGAGAATTGTTTTTAGCAATTTAAAAAAAAATGTTTATATAAATTAAAAGTCGAAAAACTACATTATCTTATTACCTGTGTCATTCTCCCAAATAGAGTGGCCGATGGAGATCTTCGATGCTGCGGGGCCGCTCCAGCAGCTCCTCCAGCTTTCAGTGTGCGTTGAAGAAGCAACAATAAAGTCGATGCATTCGACAGCCAATAAGCCAATATATCATTATTGTCCTGAGTCTTTAATTTTCAAAAGATAGACAAGAATTAGTACACAAACTAGAATTAGGACATGGCTAATCAGTAATTAGTCCTAAGTTAGTACCTCGATAGCGTTGCCTATTGTCTGAATTATCCGGTCAAAAATGCTTGTCCGCTCAACCTCGAACGAGTGCCATTGCCTAAGACATTTGTAGATAATGCATGCGGCCACCGGTCTGCCTCTCGAGAATCCCAAATGCTGAGCTACACAACGGATCAGCAAATCTTGATATTCTTGCTGCTTATCGTTGAGCGATTTTTGAGGCCTATCATCCAGCTCTGATTCCCTCATGTTCATCGAAGTACTATGGAAATCCTTTCACAATATTTTCAACAAGATATTAACGTTTCTAGAATGGTTCCCACAATAGAAAAATAAGTGGTATTTCCAAGTATTTGACTTACTACAGTATTTGTTTTCGTGCTTTCGGCCCTCTGAGAAATTTAAAGAAAGCACAAATAAGAACACGTAAATTAGCGCCGAATACAATATATCTGCCAGAATATTGATGAATATCTTTTTTTTGTTTAAGTTCACCTGCATAATTGACCTCGAACTTCTTGATAGCAATTTATTGTTCTGTGCCATGGCCAGTGCTTGCTGCCGAAGAACTTTATTTTCTGATTCTGCGTTAGTCAGCTTCTCTTCAAGCCTATCAACGGGAAAAATTATATAAAAATCAGCTGTAATAGTTAAAAAATGATGAAGGGGCATAATTTATAAGATATAATTTACCTGCTCAAAGATTCCTGAAATTGATGAATTTTACTCTCGGTTTCTTCTAACTTCTCATTCTTCGCCTTACTTAATTCCAGGGCCTCAGCACATTTCCTTTCAGCATCATCCGCTCGTTGTTTCTCGGATTGCAAAATATCCTGCGAATCATACAAGTTACAAAGAGAGATGAATTTTAGGGAGACTATAAATATTAATTTTCACTAGCATTACCTTAATTTTTTCAAGTTCTTCAGCAAGAGCCTCGATCTTTGCTGTATCTTCAACAGGAACCGGTGTTTCTTGGACAATCGAAGAGGCTTCTTCAATTGCTTTCTGAGCAGCCTCACGTTCTTTAAGAAGCAGCGCATTTGTTTCTTCCACTTTCTTTTGCATTGCTTCCAAAGACTGCTGCAACTTCACCATATCCTGTCCCTTCGCCTCTTCCAAGTCACTCTGCGCAAACGAATTTTTCCAAGTTAACAAAAGTCAAGAATATTAAAAGTTAATAACAGAAACATAATTTTGATGTTATATATTTACCCTCCGACGTTTTTCCAGCTGTAAACGCAGAGTAAGGTCTTCCACCTGCTTTTCAAGCTTATCTTTTGCTTCTTTAAGTGCACCAGTTTCTCTCGATGCCTGCAGATAGTATATTATATAAACCTCATTTGATATACATATTATATACATACATAAAACAAGATTGGCCAGGCCTACCATTTTCAGTTTCCGAAGCTCTTTCTTAGCCACCTTTCCCCTCCATCTGCATTGTGTCACAATGGACGCCCTAATGAGTCTCTTGAAGTATGAAAAGTCTCTGTGACCGCGCCAGCTTGCCTGCGATTTTTTTTTTCAATTATGGCTAATAAATCTATTGACGTAAAAAAATAATAATAACTCCAAATTGACCAACTTAAATCACCTGTATGGCAATTGCTGCTTTAGTTCGCTTCCTATATCTGAACTCACCATGGGCAGCCATTGCCCGCATCCCCGTTTGCAGAATAACAACCGAGTGTTTGAGTGTAGAGTACTTCTTCCTGGTCAAATGCCGTCTCAAATTTGTCTGAATTTTAAGAGAAGCTGCCTCCCTTTTCAAATTATCGTACTGTTTGCATGCAAGCCTTCCTGAGAGAGCATGGGAAAACAAAGGTGAATCCAGATGAAAAACGAGCATTACGGATATAATAATTAGTCGACCAGCTCAAAAAGGGTATGTTTAACGAAACCTCTACACGCAGATTGCATACAAACTGCTGCCTTCTGCAAAGCAAGAAAGTGTTTACGAGCAATATGAGTTCTAATCTTCCTTTGTATTGTCTTTGCTGCAGTGCTAAGTATAAGTGCTCTTCGGGCATCTAAATCAGCCATCTGACCAGCTCTCAGAAACACCTTTGTCTTTCCTGTCTGCATCATGGTACATGTAATAAAAAACAACATGGTTACAACTTACAACCATTGTGTAATATATTTACTCAAATTCAATAAAAAGAAATAGATCTTAACAAAAAAATAATAGAAAATTACCTGAGCCCCGGCAAGGCCCATCTTCTCCAGAATTTTCTTGCAAGCAACTTTTTCGTCGATACTGCTCACATGATAAGGAAAAATACAAGTGTCACTTCGGCAAATTATGAGCCAACAATCACAGTAAATATCAAACAGAAAATTGCACTTACTTTCCTTCCAAGACCTCTGGAGAAAGAAGACTAAACCGATGAAGAAATTCATAAAACGTCTTACGAGTAGGGTAACCAGCACAGCTGATTCTAATTGCCTCTAAAACACCCTGCCAGGACAGAAGAAAAAAAAAAAAAAAAGAGGACAAGTAACTTGACTGTGCAATTGGAGTATAAAATATAAATAATATAAAGTGGCAAGTTTATCTGCTGCACTCACACCACAACGTAGCTGCTGCATGATATTAACATTCTCGAAAATCGCAGGCTTGAGAAGATTATTCGGCTTCACACATCTAATGTAGTGAGGCTCTGTGGAATTCAGTGTCTCCATCAATTGTTGGAGTTGTATCTGTACCGATTATCCAATAAAAGCATCAGATTTTTCGATCTTCTTGCAACCTCAAAATCTCAATCGTTTAAAGCAAAAATACCTTGAATCGAGACCCTATTGATGAAAACTTAGACGACTTGTTCGAAGATTTGTTTGTCTCTTCAGGTAATGGAGGAAACAATCCTGCTACAAACGAGCATTTGGAAGAATTAAGCAAATCTTGATGTTCGGGAACAACATAATCTTTGTTTTTATCCAAAAACTGATCCGATTGGTATTGAACCTGGAGGAGAACAAAATCAAATGGCATTATTCAATTTCGACTCAAAACCAAAAATTTACTTAGCCTTAATAATAAAAAGATAATCAGCTTACCTCTCCAGCATAATGAGCAATGGTGAAATCTGTACGCGACAGTTTTGGTTTGATGAAACGTTTGTGTGCTTTAAATGTCTGATAGAGCTTTTGTGAAAATGTTTCGTGTGTCGACTTTGGAAACATACTGCAAATAGAACAAGAAAAAACAACGAGGTCATACCAACCATCCTTTGTAATAAACCTGAAAAAATAAAGTAAATTCCTACCAGGCCTCATCAAGAAGAGCAATGATCCCTCCAGGTTTCTGCAATAGCATGCATGAAAAATTATAGCTTCAACATGCAATGTGTTAAGCAGTTTAATAAAATATTAAACAACCTTTTCAATAAGATCGAGGACATCTTTGTTGTCAACAAATTCAATGTAGCTCCAGTCAATCTCTTCCCTTGTGTATTCCTCCTGCTCCATCTTAAAAACGTGCTGTGAAAGAAAATTTGTTGATTTATCAGTATTTAGTCTTAAATATCGATTTTTTAACTGCAGCAATTATATCGAAGAGTACCTGATTAAAATGCTGCTGTAGCTTTTCATTCGTGAAATTAATGCAGAACTGTTCAAAACTAAATAAACAAAAACTTACGAGTTAGTTCAGACACGAAAAAAAACTCCAACAATAAATACATTATATTTTTATTACCTGTTGGTTTTAAAACTTTCGAAACCATAAATATCAAGAACACCAATTAGACATTTTGAATTTGGATCTTGCCCAATCGAGTTGTTTATCTTGTCCACCAACCTGTTCAAACATTGTATCAAAATTTGACTAAACCAAGAAAGAAAGAAAGAAATAACTTCATCTGAAATATTAACATACCAATCAAACAAGCGAGAATATATTGTCTTAGCCAACCCATCCCGACTAACTGTTGCACCATCAGGATCAAGACTTCTCTTAATAACTTCTTCTGGAGTGACCATCACACGCTTCAGTAATGCATCTTCCAGTGCAGTAAGATCGCACCTGACAATTATAAAAATAAAATAAAAAAGTTACAATTGAAAAACAGGACACAAATATTAGGAAATAGGACAAATCATACATGAGAAGCTCTGCTACTGTCTTAAGATGGAATTTCGATTTATCATTCTTGAGAACCGATGAGTCGATTTCCTTTCCCTTGGCAAATTCGACGTTACCAAGATGGAGAACAGAGGCCACTACTCTGAAAATTGCATCCTGAAGAATGAGACAAATTTTAAGCAACTGCAAGAAAAGAATGGATATGGGGACCACAAACTGTATATATAAATACCAAGATTGTACCTGCTCTTTTTGACTTATTCCGACAATGTCCATGGCCCTCCTTGTAGCCAAATAATCCTGAGCATCGCTTATGCCATTGAGTTCAATACAATTCGATTGATTGAGATAATGAAATGTTCTTGGATCTCCCAGCTTATACTTCTCAACTTCCTGATAAGGTATAAAGCTGATCAGAAGAATATGATAAAAGATAGCTTCTTCATATATTGATCTGACGAATAATCTAGAATAAGAAAAGCTTGTAATAAGAGTAGATTATTACCTCCTGTGGTGCTGCACATAGAAGGTAGAAACAGTGATAATTGCGTTCAGGGTCTGAAACTTGGCAGACGCGAGATCTCTCGAGAAGATATGTTCTAATGGCTGCCCCTGATATTCTCCCGTGCTTATCGAACTGAATTTCGACGAATTTACCAAATCGACTGCACCATTATAGAATTGTAGCAATTCGGATTAGATGTTGCTATTTAACCTGTTTTAAATGATCGACTTGAGAAATCCTATGTCTCACCTAGAATTGTTATTTCTAACAGTTTTTGCATTTCCGAATGCTTCAAGTACTGGATTTGACTGCATTAAACCACTCAGAAAGTTTTAGATATATCAGACACAAAGGTATATTTTCTTGAAATCCGATCATAAAAAAAACTAAACCGAATGACATATTTTACCTCAAGAACTTGTTGTTCCACTGTTCGCCCTTCAGTTTGTTTACGGCCACCCAAATAGGCAAGGTACCTCATAAGCATCTTAGTAGTTTCTGTCTTACCCGCACCACTTTCTCCACTAACCAATATCGAGTTACTTTTTCCTTCGTTTATCATAGCCCTATTTTCAACTCGAAACACTCAGACTTGATTTTAAATTATCTCATACGAAATCAGGCAGAAAAAAATATTTACTGTTCATCACCTATAAGCCATATCCGCAATAGCAAACACGTGAGGACTCAGTTCTCCAAATGGTGCTCCTTTGTATTGCTCCATCATGTGCGCATCGTATATATGAGGGAGCCTTTGAAATGGATTGATTGCAATAAGAATGCCTCCAGTATAAGTCTGCGCGATTATGTCAGAGCATGATGATATATTTTATGATAGAACAAATAAACACAGATCGAACATGAACTAAATGATTTAAGTATCTTACGTATATTTCATTGAGCTGGTATCTTGATGCCAAGTTCTGTAAGACTCCAGGCTCGTGCAAATAAGATAATTTAGTCATGTCATCAACTCCACCGGGGGGTGCATCTTCGTCTTTCGGGTATATATTTGCTAACTTAGCAACAACCTGGTAAATTGAAAGGAATAAATAAACTTTTAAGGGACATGTATTCTACGTAACGGAAAATACAGCACACTGATGATTAATTTGAAAATTATTTTGGGTATGTAACTTATGAAATTTACCTTGTTCCCTTTAGATGTTTGCACTTCGACATCTTGTCCAGTTATCTTTGTAACTTGACCATCAACCCAAGCAACGTCTGGGTCTTCAACCCAAACATGCGAGCCTACAATGATATTCACCGGCGTACTCTGCATATTCAAATTCGAAAGTAAGTGTATGCCCTATTGAAAGAACTCCGTATCTATTCACAGCTCTTCTGTTCCACATATCGAGAAACTTCATCGAACACACATAGCTAAGAGTCTAAGTAATGAGTTCATCATAAGTTTCTTGTTAAGAAACACACTGAATAGCAATGCGATCGCCTATTACTCTTGATAGACTAAAACTGCATTCATCTATGGTTTAAATTTCGATACCACTAACGATTTCCGGACCGAAAAGTTTCCTCCGCACATACAATGTTTCGACATTTTAGGTATAAATAAATACCATAAGACATCCCAACTAACGGGCTAGCCTCAAGGATCTTTCATGCACTACAACATAACATATAGTTAAAATTATCCTCTTAACACTAAGGAAATCAAACACATTAGTGACATATTTCCAGATTTCAAGATCAAATTGCCTAAGGATTTCAGTATTAGTTCAAGAAAAATTCATAAAGTACAAGAAAAGCAGAATAATCAAAACAAAGACATAATAATGTAGGTCCTGCACACGTACCATCTAATCCAAGAAACAAAAAAACTCCGACTGTATCGAGTTCCGATCACATAAGAAACCCTATCGTCTGAATTCAAGAACCCAAATCTTCGTCCAAAACACTGCATGAAAACTCCATCATCACACCACAGAGAGGAGCACTACTAAGATCATCAAAGTGTCGAAAACTGGAAAAGGGTTCCGCCGGAATCTTGAAATAGAGACCGAGTAAGTACAACGACGAACACGCGGGGAAGAAAGAGTATTGAGATTTGGGGGTGTCTGATTCTTGAGAGTGGGGGTTGTGTTCGCAGTGGCGAGTAAAATTGACCGTTGGATCGGGTTTCAACGTTGGATGCGAGGAATGGGAGTGGGTTTGTGGAGGAGAGCGACATTTTTCTGAAGATCCCAAGTTTTCGGAGCCTTTGAATCCTTCTGCGGACATGTGTTTCTGTGTGTGCGTTTTTGCCGGTGAGGGATATATAAGGTAAATTCTTGCACAAAGCAAACGTATGAACTGGATCGTCGGTGTAAATTCAGTGGCGAATCGTCTCCAAATTGATTCCATAATTTAATTTCGGGTTTTTGGCACTTTGCACCCTTAAATTACACAATTTTGTCACTTTACACCCTTAAATTACAAAATTGGCAGATTGCACCCTTTAAACATAAATTATTTGTCATTTTGCATCCCAAATCACTTTTGGCTTAGAAAACTTACCTGCAACTTGCTGGAAACCTAGAAGATGGCAAATTCATAATTTTCTTATTATATATCCTCTTCCCCCAATTCTTAATCACCGTTCCACCATTTTTATCTTTCGTCCCTTCAATCAAAAAATCATAAAATCCTTTTAGCAATTTCTTTCAATGGTAAAATCGGTATAAACACTAAACGATAATAATAAATCACTTTTTTTTTTTTGGAGTATGAAAAATAATGTAACATGAAATTTTAGGCCGAGCCGTCAATTTTTTTTTTGAATAGTCAAATGACAAAATAAGGTGACTGAGAAGTTTATTTGGTGGTAGAAAGGTGGTGTCTATTAGTTTTCATGATGAAAAGTTTTTTGTGCTCCCATTGAATAGTTTGGATCTGCAAAATTATTTTAAAAAAATAGCGTTACCATTGAATAAAACTTGATTTTTTGAAGGTGTGTTATCGGACTCTTGTCTATATATTCCAACAATTCTTGAGTTTTAGTTCAGAATTTACATATTATGGCAAATAGAAACGGGTAAGAATTCCTCAAAAAAAAAAACGGGTAAGAAGAATTTATGATTTTTTGATTAATAGGACGAAATTTAAAAATGGTGGAACGATGATTAAGAATTGGGGGAAGAAGATAGATAATTAGAGAATTGCGAATTTGCCCATCTTTCAGGTTTTCAATAAGTTGCAGGTAATTTTTTCTAAACCAGAAGTAATTTGGGGTGCAAAGTGCCAAACAATTTATGTTTAAATGGTGCAATCTGCCAATTTTGCAATTTAAGTGTGCAAAGTGCCAAAAGAGTGTAATTCAAAGGTGCAAAGTGCCAAAAACCCTTTAATTTCAGATATTGTTCAAACCCTAATTGGAAAGTACAGCTTGCCTTTAACTCATCGTTCATTCCATAATTAATTTCAGGTACTTTTGAAACCCTAATTGGAATAAAATAACAACACGATGTAATTATTTTTATCATGTTTTTTTTTCAAATTAGTTCTCTACCTAATTAATTTATCAATACTAGTAATTGTACCCGTGCGATGCACGGGACAACAAATTGCATTCTTTTGATGTTGTAAGAATATAAACAAACGTTTGATGTATCGTATGATCAAAATTCTATTATACTGGAACATTATTAAGTATACTACACACACAAAAAAAAAGGACATAACTTTACTGTTGAATAATTTTCCAAATGAATTGAATCAGCTAATACCAGTAGATTGAAAATTTGAACCAGGAAAAAAATCATCAATTATGTCTTCCATGTTGAGCTTAAAAGTAATTAGATTTAATAACTAAGTTAACATAATCAAAACTAAACTATCGACAACATACCATCGTAAAAGGCCATCTATACATCTTGCATCGGAACTAAACACTTCTCCACTGCCTCATTTTAAGGTTGTTTTGCCACTGGAATTAACAATTGGAAAATTAAGAAACAAAAATAAATATAAACAATAAATTAAATATCGCATACAAACAATAAGTCTTGAAGGTCGACTTCCAATAACTTGTGGCTCCGCCCATTTTTGGTTAATTTTCTCAAATCATCCCTTTCAATAACATGTCCAATAACATATAAAATGAAATAATTGTTATACATAAAATTTGAAAACTTTGGTATAAATTAATGAAACACATAATTTAACAAAATGAAATTACCTATAAGCCATGATGGAAAAAGATGTAAACTAATTGCCACACATGCAATAGGATGAAGAAGAAGATAAGAAACAAAATCTAAAGTCGGGTTACCAAAAGAAGAAGCCTTAGGTAGGGAAGAAATAAAATTCAAATGTTGCAGACATTCTGTAAAACGATGTCACAAAATCCGCTAGGGATGAAAATCAGATTTATTTACCCTTTTCTGCAAAAATCGAAAATCAGATTATTATAAATAATATCTAGGAGAATTTGATGAAAATCGATAATAATATTTAAAATAATATTTCGGAGATAAAAATTTGATAAAAAAATCAAAAAATAATATTTAGGAGATAAAAATCAAAAATAAAATTTAAAATAATAGTTAGGAGATAAAAATTTGATAAAAAATCGAAAATAATATTTCAAATAATGTTAATGAGATAAAAGTTGATAAAATATGAAAATAATAATTAGAATAATATTTAGGAGATAAAATATGATTAAAATCAAAATTATTATTTAAAATAATATTTAGGAGATAAAAATTTGATAAAAATCGAAAATAATATTTAGGAGACAATAATCTGATAAAAAACGAAAATAATATTTAGGAGATAAAAAACTAATAAAATCATGATAAAACTCGAAAAAAATATTTAAAATATTATTTAGGAGATATAAATTTGATAAAATTCGAAAATAATATTTAGGAGATAAAAATCTCCTAAAAGTTGAAAATTATATTTAAAATTATAGTTAGGACTGAGGAGATATAAATTTGATAAAATTAAAAAAATATTATTTATAATAATATTTAGGAGATAAAAATGAAAAATAATATTTAGGAGACAAAAATCTGATAAAAATAAAAAATAATATTTAAAATAATATTTAGGGGATACAAATATGATAAAATTCAAAAATAATATTTAAAATAATATTAAGGAGATAAAAATTTGATAAAAATTGAAAAAAAAATTACAAATATGACATTAGGGTTTCTTAGGGTTGCCCTAGCGTTTCTTTCTTTTATATATAAGATATGTCAATACTACAATAAATATTACATCTAGGCATGCAATATCAATCAAATCGTTATATTAAAAATAATCGAACTTGTCTAAACACTTTTAAAGACGAATTAATTGAAACGCGAGTTTAAAGAACCTAGAAAAACATCGAGCAGCCTAAAAAGTTGTAACCGAAACGCAAAACAATTTTATTTACTCGTTTATAACATGTTTTGATAATTCACAACACGTGCGTGTTAACGATGCTATTATAAAATAAACTAGAAATTAAAATAGAGTATTAAAAAACGACCGGTCTAGTTCGGGTGAAATTAGGGTTTGAAATGGAAAATGCATGGCTCAATCGAGATCCATGTAAACTATCGAAAAAAGACCGACCCGAATTTAGACCCACCCGATTACTATCCATACAATCTCCAATTGACCATTTCTTCAAGTATTCAAAGGTTTTACATTAGACTAACATCATTAAAATATTTCTATATCCATAAAGTCAACGCATTCCAACTTATATTCTCCTGGAATTGACAATAAATTGTTAAAATAAATTCAAGTCTTAATTATATTGTCAATTTCAAATTCATGTGTCATCTCACGTATGATACGATTTGAAGTATTCATCAAGAAATTGTTTTTAGTAGTAGCTTGGGCTTCACCCACACGTTATTTTCATTTTCTTTTCTTTTCATTCCTTTTTTCCTTTTTCGAAATTGACGGAATTAATAAATTTCATTTTTTTTATTCACCTATAACATAAAATACATAATATATTAATATTATAAATACAAATTTTGATTAAAATCGAAAATTTTCAAAATTATTTTTCTGAAATTGGTATCCCATATACACATATAAAAAGTAGTATATTCAACTATAAATACAATACATGACTTGGTAAATACTATATTTTAGTTAAGATGGTAGAAATTTAAATTTAATTGACTCTACCTACACCAGGAATTAGGGACATACAAAAAACGTTAATTAACTCAAAATAATTGTCAACTCGGTTGTTAACGTTTTTACATTAATCTAAAATAAAAAAATTATACGACCAATTCAATTTTCTTAATTCCCTTCAAAATACATGTCAGTCAACAGTCAAACCCCTGTGCATGGAAAAATTCAAGTCCCACCTTTTTACATCGTTAATTATATTCCATGCACTATATATAACACACTTCCACCTTCATATTAATTCATTCCCATTTAATTTTAATTTTCCCGCACAAAATTTACATTTTATATATCTACTACTTATTTAATTTCTTGAGAGCGAAAAATAAATAAAAAATCGGACCGCTCGCTCAAAAGAAAGGGCCTTCCATCTGTTCTAGTCGATCGAGTAACGATGTTTCGAAAAGTGGCGTTAGTTATTACAGCACTGCTGCTATTTTTGCTGCTAATTACGATAAAACCGAATGAAGCGACGAGAATTCTTGACGAGGATGAAGAACAATGGATGAAGAAGAACATTAATAAGGAACAAAACCTTTTATTACTGCCATCCTTGCAGAGGGGCCGCCCCTCGGGCCCACCAGCCCCTAACGGCTGCTCGTGGGTCCCAGGCGAGGGAAGGCCATGCACCACCTCCATCAACCAGCGTAACTTTGCCATGATTGGTTCTCGTGATCAATCGCCGCCTCCTCCTCCTCCGGCCACCGTAGACGTTGTTACATATCCAGAGCAAATGGTTCAGTTTGGTGTGGCCGCTGGAACTAAATGAAGAACGAGTGATTGATGGAGATTTGACCATATTGACCAAGAATATATATATATAACTGGATTCTTTTTCTTCTTTTCTTTTCATTTATTTATTTATTTTAGTTCGGGTTTAATTAATTAAAACCGGGCTTTTTAATTTACTTTTTTATTTATTATTTTCTTGTATGTGTATATTTAGACCCTTGTATATTTTTTTATACTAAATTAAATAGATTTATATAAACTAAAATAAAAAAATTCCGTGTAACGCTTACTAGTTCGATTAATCAAACAACAAATGTAATAATGATTGAATTGGGTTTATTTAGATTAAAATGGTACAAGTTTAATTTGATTTGAATTTACAGTAAAAAGAACAATGAAATAGTAATATAGTTGAACTTAGGGTGATTCCACTAATGAAGGAGGGATTCAAAATATTTAATTATTGTTGGCTTAATTTATGATTTTTGAACCAATAATGACGTAATAATATAATATAATTTACCTTATTGGAAGTCATTTAATAAGAGTAAAGAATTTGCATTTGAAGCCCAACAAAATAAGCTGATAATCTTTTTTAATATCCAATACAAACATTCTTGATCGCTCGTTGTTAAGTGTATATTTTTACACTTTATCGTATCTTTTTATTTGAGCTTTTGGTGTGTTTAAACGATAATTGGTGCTTAAAAAGTTGATTTATTGTATTTTAGGTACAAATTGAAGAATTGGAAAAGTATGGGGTCAAAACTGCAATTTTGGAGAAAATATGGGCCAAAAGTGAAAATATCAAAATTTTGAAGATTTAAAGCTCGGACCCCGTCCCAGTTTTAGTGCAAATTATGGGACCCCCGTCCGAGACTCCGAAATTGCGCAGTAAAGGGATTTTAATTGCACAAGGAAACTGCCTTCTTCCCCAAGTTCTTCACCCTATATAAGACCAATCCAAGCACACAATGAAGGATCTTTTTATGCAATTTCAAGAGGAACAAAGCAATAACGAAAACGAAGAATTCGAAGACTTCAACCATAGATTTATCGTCTATGATTTATTTTATTTGCGTTTTTCCTTTAATCATGAGTAGCTAAATTTCTTATTTCTAGGATTTTATTTGGAACCCTATGTGGGATTTATGAACCCAATTCTATGATTTTATGCAAGTTTTAATTCCGGATTATTTCTTCTACTTGTTTTATTAAGTGCATGAACTTGATCAACTTATGTGCTTTTATGTTATTGTTAATCGCATGAATCGGAAGATCGGGTTAATAATTAGAACTGTGGTAGAAGAGCCTTTGTGGTATTAACATAGGAATATAATTAATCTCTTAGGTAGCCATTATTGAGATTTGTGTTTAATGCTGTGTTCTAGAATTAATTGCATAGGAATATAGTAATTGAATCTAGAGTATTAGAATCGTAATACACGCGGAAGCGGGTTATGATTATTTTAGCATCTCAGGTTAATAATCCGGGTTAATTGCTTGCATAATTGAAGGAATTGGGGGAATAATAATCACATAGGGGGAAGAATAAAATCCTAGGCTTGTTTACTTTGATTAAATCTTCGTTTTAATTGCTTTCTTGTTTTTGTCTTTTTAATTGCTTTATTTTAATTTAGTTAATTCTCTCCAAATTCGACTGTGTAGGGTGGGCTTGATAATAATTGGTAAAATTTAGCGTCTAGGATTAGATAATTAAATATTCCCTGTGGGTTCGATATCCGGACTTTTAGTCCACTATATTACTTGTACGATACGTGCACTTGCGTGTAGGTTTTCGGCCAACACTCGTCACATGTGGTTAGTTTAGTACGATATACACACCTTGTGTCGTGCCGTTTGCAATCTACTTCATTAGGTGGAGTTTACATCGAGTGACTGCGGGTTCTCTTATCAATAAAAGAAATTGCACGATACACATATTTTGATATTTATTAATATAAATAAATATTTTCAAGGTAAAAATTAAAGAAAAAAATGGGTTTATGACTCAATTATTTTCTATTCCAAATTGGTGGAACTTAAAAAATAAATAATAAAATAAATAAGAAAAAAAACCCAGATCAGCAGCAGCCCTAATTCACAAGGAAATTCCAACACAAAATATTTTTTCAAGTCAAATAAAAGAAAATTGGCAAATTATTAACACACCAAGGAAGACAAAAAGAGTAACTATTTCCTCCCATTTCTTTGCGCCCCTTTTTATTAACTCAATAAGCCCTTATTATGCCTTTGACTGGCACCTTGAGCAAGAACATTTTCAAGAAAATGGTTGGTTTGAACAAACGGGTCAAACCCGCCTATTTACAACGGCTACTCAATCCTGACCTTTGATCTACAACCATCACGAGATTGTGTCCGTTCAAATGAAACTGCTCACAGGTTGGAGAAAATCCAACTCTTAACCTCCTCGTCAACCTACGGGTCGGATCTGGTTTCGGATCCGAGCCGTGAACCTAAACTTTGTTTCTCCACAGGACTCATTCAATTCATAACTGGTTGAAAAATCCTGCAGTCAGCATTTTCGAGTCCTCTTGATATATGAACATGTGTAAAATTCAAGGCATACTTTTTTACTTTTTGCGCTATATATAGACACGCATATACATACATTATTTCAAAAACTGCTTTCTATCTGCCCTTTTATCGAGGAACAAGATGAGGGCTTCAAGTTTTCTTTTAGTTATCGCAGCAGTAGTTCTTGTGCTCAGTTTCGAACAATATGAAGCAATTCGAATTCTAGGAATGAGAGAAAGAGAATGGAAAATTAATGGGGAATATCTTCTCTTACCGTCCTTACAGACAAAGCCTCCTTCGCCAAATGGTTGCACGTTTGTCCCCGGTGGTGGCGGCAATTCATGCCAGAGCACCATCAACCAGATGCACTTTTCCGGCCGCGTCGTGGTGGCTCCTCCTCCACCTCCCGTCACTTCCGATGGCTATCAAGAACAAAAGGTACAATTCGATCCAGCCACTTGACGTGAACAAATTCACAGTGAGATGTAGACAGTAAACACCAAAGTTAGACAGTCAAAATGAGACGAACAGAATATTCTTTCATAATCTTTTCTTTTTTTGGTCCAAGTGGAAACTTTTTGTTTTTTTATTTTTTCGAAATTCTTGTGGTTTCAACTGAAACCAAAGTGTTTCCTGCTTAATTCCTCCATCAATGTAAATGTATGTTCTCACACGTCAAAAAGAATAAACGAACGAGATAAGTGATGTATTAAAAGCATACATTTCATTAACAACAAGATACATTCAGAAAACCCGTACAATTTTAACAGAAATGGGCATAAACACAACCCGTGGTATTAAAAGCAAATCTTGTATGTTACTGGTGTTACATCAAAAGGCGAGTAAATCACTAACAACCATATAATCATGTCGATCACTAATAAATAATAACCATATAAATGATGTAGATATGATTATATGGACAACAAATAACCTATAATTTTTCTTCACTAATGGCAAGTGCACTCATTAGTTAATAATTAGGGGCACTCCCCTAAAATTACACAAGATAAAATCTTACATGAGCAACGTACTTTATAACCCAATCATTTCAAGAGAGCAGCAGCCAACTTATCCTTCAACTCTTCAGCGCCACCGCCAGGTGTTTGAATGGTGAACGTGTGAACAACTTCACCGCCCTCGTTTATAGAGATAACAGACTCGTGTGCCGCCACCTGATTCTCTCTCAACGCCCTCACAACTCCTGATACAGGGTGAGATTCCAGAGGGCAGCTTACTCGTAGAACTGAATCTTCGTGCCTTTCAAGAAAATCAATATCTGGTATATTACTCTCGTGTTGCTTATTGTTATTATTATTCACCACCCCTTTCTCAGCTTCCATCACCCTCACCTTCGTCTGAAGATCTGTGATGTAAGCAATTGCATCACCGAGTAGAGATGCTTTGTCCATCTTTGATATATTAGGAACTACTGCTCTTAGTGCGTAAAAGCGCTGGTTAAGCTTCTCTCGTCTCTGTCTTTCTGCTTCGACGTGGTTCAATGCCTCTTCTCTGCCGTTAGCTGGTTTTCGACCCCTTTTTCTAGGTCTTTGGTCATCGGAGAGAACAAATGAATTCTCGGCAATTTGGTCCATGTTCAAGTGTGGATATATCTTTGCATCAATATCATCAGTTCGGTGCCCGTTCGAAGAATTTCCGTAAACTTGCAAGTCATATGATTCTGAAGAGAGCACAGAATCATCCTCCACCTTTGGAGAAAAGCTAATACTTATTGTACTCGATTTCGAACCTCCAAGATTGAGTTCTTGCCCGAAAACTTTTGGAAGAAAAGGTTTCGCATGCGTTGAATTCACCTTCACAATAATAGATTTTGCAGACTGAATGATGCTTTGGTTTTCGGGTATAGACTTTCTGGAACCAATCTCGATAACCCCTGATTTCGACGGAATATACACCAATGTCTCGAAACCAGCTAACTTGGCTAAATATGACCTCGATTGATACCGCTCGAGGCAGCTTTTCATATCGGAAACCCAAATAGTTCTGCCAGAGTTGAAAGACTGTGACGGAATTGAAGGCTTATCGAAAGGGAAAGCAAAGTACATAGATGTGAGATAGAACATTTCGACATGTGAAACTTGATCCAATTTAGCAGCAACGTTGTCATCTTCGGATCCACCAAAACAAGCATGGATCTTTTGAAGCACCCGTTTTCTGCAATCTCCTTCGACTGGTTTTTTCCCATCTTCGGAAAAATTACCAGTATCGTACTCGCCTTCTTTGGGCTCTCGACAATGCCCATCACCCCATATTAGTGCCGATTTGCCGGATTTAGATCTTGAAACATGCCAATATATGGCGTATGTCCAATCAGATCCATCGACAATCTTGCACAGTGTTTGCTGCACTCCGAGATCACCACCAGAGGCAGAGAATTCAGACAGGACATTGTTAGAAGCCGACCACGCAAAATATTCGGTCGCTTCACTGCCCAACACACTCTCCACGACAGCCTTGTCCTCTCCGTTCAACCAAAACTTATTCCCCATCTCAAAATGACACGAAACTCAACTGACTAATGATGCGAAGGATAAGCTATCACCGAATTTTGACACAATCCCCAAAAAACCCCCAAATCAACAAAAGGAAATACTTCAGGAGCAAATCCAGGAAAGCAAATTAAAAAGGAAAAGGAGGACTAAATAATACAATCTTCAAACTTTCAAGATTCTGCAACAACATTAAAAACTAACAGAAACTACAACTGAATTTATCAGAAACAGTTTTGATCAAAACCCAAATTAACTGGGGTAAATAACCAGACCTATGAATGTCACTTAGATAATAATTTCTCTAAGATCAATTATTTACCCAAAATGAAAACGATCAGAAATTCAATAAACTAGGGTTTCCTCCTCCAATTCCAGAATCTTGAGAATTTCATAGCAAACCCCTCATTTACACCCCAAATACCAAATCAACGAGAACCAAGTTAAAAGGGCCCAAAACCCCCAATTTTTCACAACTGAGCTAAGACTAAATGATCGTGGCGCATATGTTTAAACTTCGTCAAAAAAAAAAAAAAGATGAACAGTGATGCGCAATAAGAACACGAGAAATGCGTCGAAACTAAGTGAAAAGGCATATCCCGTCAAGATTAGAGCGCGAATTACCTGAAAGTAGAGATGGGTTCGTGAATCTATGGCGTGTCATGTTCAGAAAGAAGCTCGTGTTTCATGTGAGCTCACCTGGTTTTCTGGATCTGAAATTTCTCCATTAATTTATTATTATTTATTATTATTATTTTGTGATGGCTTTATTCATGCGCGTGAATCAACTGTGCGCGTGACACTTGCCAAGTCGGCATATGTTGTAAAATATCTTTCTGTTTTTGTAAGGTAATATAAAATTTGTTAAAAATATTAGTAATTCATAAAATTAGTGTCTTTATTGCTACTTTTTTTTTTTTTTTTTTTAATTCCTTTTTCCCCATTTCTAGAAAATAAAAAGAAAAATATTACATGGGCCATTATGTGTAAGAAAACCCAACTGATAAAAATATATGGACCCTTTCCCAAGCCCAAAGGCTTTCTCTTTAAACTTTTGGACTAAATATATTTATTTATTAATTATGAATACATTCTAAAATAATAAATTCACCACCTACCAAAAAAATATATACACTTCAAATTTGATGGATAGTTAGATCAAATACATTTCAATTTCGTGAAACGAAATAAATAAAAGTATATATATATGAACGTAAAATACAAATTATTATTTATTCATCGCTAGTTATTGGTGGTCGATTGAAATACAATGTAATTTGCAAATATTAAATAACAATCAATAACAACAATTATATTTATTACACTTCATTATTTATTAATGATAAATGATAAGTAGTAAAACTTCAGCTTATTATTTATTTTTATTTTTTAATTATTATTCCTTGGACAGCTGGAATATAACAAAATAATTCAACCAATACGAGGAACGCGAACGACGACGTTTGAAGCGTTAACCCAAACCCAGACACGATCGCACCTCAAGTCTTCGGTCACCGAAGTTCCTTCTCTCACTACAATCGCGTTCACGTTCCTATTCTGCCTCTCTATCACCGTCGCCGCCGCGTCCCCATTCGCCCGCACCAACTCCGGCCACATACTCTTCCCTGCATTAATCATTATTTTTTTATTATCAATTAATTAACCGATTTAATTAATTATTTAATAGGGAGTAATTAATATATAAGAAAATATAATATTAAAATTTGATGCGTGCTAATTACCTGGTGGGCAATTTGCCATATCTACTTCTGAATATTGCTGAGAAATGCTAAGTTTATTAGTAATTTGTAATGAGTTGATAATTTTGCATGCACTTTGTATGCGTATATATAGAGAACAGAGTGTACGTACATATGTTTGTATAATTATTAATTTATTATTTATTTGTGTCTCACGTTAAAAAAAAGAATATTATAATAGAAGTGACGACGGCCGATTTGCTTGAATGGCCACGTATTGTATCTATCTATAAGATTATATTCGTATAATCGTATACATATATTGACTATATTGGTCGGTCAATGCTTACCTTACACCAAATTGTTTATTTATTTATTTTCAATAATATTTTGGTTTTGTAGAAGTAATCAAACTATTTATTTATCAATTATCAATGAATTAAAGATGTACGTCTTTTTTTAGTGTTCATACTTCATTGGGCATGTTTGCTGTGTATCAAGTGTGAACCAATTACATATATATTGGATAGGAGTTGAATAGGTGATGTTTGAATATAATGGTTTTTATTTATTTATTTAACTCTAAAGAATTTTATTAGTTGGTGGAGCTGTGAACTAAGGCCACATTTAAAATAGGACTGTTTGAAAAGTGTGAATATAAATTATAAGATAATTCTTTTTTTTTTTTCTTTTTGCCTTAAAAATAATTATAAGATATATTGTCAAATATTGGGTTACATTGAATAGAAGGCTTTTGTAATTTATTGCTGAAAATTGAATTCTGACTTAATTCTATTTTGTACCTTTGGAATATACTATTTTAATATTTTGCATCAACTAAAATATTCCATAATATTTACTCAAAAAAAAAAATATTCAATAATATGTTACACCCTAAGATTGATTTTTTAAAAAACTTATGTATTATTACGAACAAAAATTACTTTATTATTCTTTAATTCTCTTTTTCAAAATGCATTATCCCGACATGTTTTGACATTATTTTAATATTACAATGCAAATTTCATTGTCTTCTTCCGAAATACAAACAAACATTACTTTATTTAATTAGGAAAAAAAAAAATCAAAATATTATCCCAAAATGAAATGAAAACGAGGCCCCAAAGCCGGACTAAACATTCCACCTTATTGTCATTAATTAGTGGGAGCTAGATATTTAGAAATATTAATACAATATCAATATCATTTTAATATAAAAAATACATTATGAATAATATTGTAACGAATAAGAATGGAAATACAATTCTTGAGTAATCAAGTTTCGGACACATTTTCATCTTCAGAGAAAGAAATTATATATATATATATATATATATATATATATATATATATATATATATATATCAAAATTTTCATTTATTGGAATTTTGTGAATTCATATATCCAAAAATGATATGATTATGTAACAATATTTTTTGTCTCAATTTTGAAATTTTAATTTCCGATTTAGTGGTGAATTAAGCAGAGTTGTACATGTACGGGAAGCAGGCCATCCTCGGCTCGCTTCCGAATTTATAAAGATAATATAAAACTCAAACGATAAATTAAAAACAACCATTATTTAATTTGAAGATAGAAAAAAATACAATTTATTTATTAATCATCACAAAAATATTGCTCGAAAGCAATATCAACTTTATTTTACAACATATATGGTGAAAACATGTACAACTATAATAACAAACAACACTTTTTTATTTATTCTTGAATAATTATCAATTTTATGTCTTCCACGTGCGTGAATTAGCCGGCACGAGGAGCACGAAGCACCACACCATTCGCGTCGACCCAAATCCAAACACGGTCGCACCTGAAATCTTTAGTTGCCGGAAATTCATTCGTTGACACAATTGCGATCACATCTGGGTTCTCCCTCTCTACCACTGCCGCCGCTGCGTCGCCGTTGGCCCCCAACAACTCCGGCCAGAAATTCTTCCCTGAATACCAAACATACATAAATTAAATTAAATTAAATTAACCTTTGTAATAATTGAGTATCTATACCATGTACATGCATCGTGCACTTGTTAATAGTAATTAAAAGCAAATTAAGAAAAATGGTTAATTAAATGAGAAAGGGTGCTTGCCTGGACAATCGTTTGCCATATCAACTTGTGATTAGTGCCAATAATAGATTAAGGTTGTAATAAGTAATTTATGATGATAATAAATTGCATGCATAAGTACACGTATATATAGGAGTTTGAAAGAGAGAGAGAGAGAGATGATAAGTGGCGGCGTAGGCCGATTTTCTTGACAGCCGGTACACGTGTATACGCACGTGATTAATTGTATTGTATTTTTTCTTTGACATAATTTTATATTAATCTTTTCTTTGTACAGATCGTGTTCTTACAGAACGACAAATTTGACTGTTCATCGGCCACGTATATATAGTATATATATTATTAGATTTGGTATAAGAAATTCATATACTGAACATAAATAGAATTTAAATTGATTAAATAATATAAAAAAGTTATTTCTGAGAGCATACTTATTTCTTTCAAACAAATCCATTAACCGCACACAAGTATACTCCCTCCGTTCCTTTATAAGTGTCGTTTTTAGCTTGTGCACAAGGATTAAGGATCTCAATAAATTTTGCTTAATTTTAGAAAAATATATGTGCTTATACTAAAATGCCCTTGCCAATAATTAATGTGAGAGAGTGTTGGAGATAGTTAATAAGGGTAAAATTGATAATTACACAATTAATGCAGTGTTGGAAATGTAAAGTGACAGATAATATGGAACAAAAATAATTTTAAAAAGAGACAGTTATTGTGGAACAGAGGGAGTAATTGAAATTGTCAAATTGATTGTAATATAATACTCCCTCTGTTCCATAATATCTGTCTCTTTTGAGAATATTTTTTGTTTCATATTATCTGTTACTTTACAATTCCAATGCTGCATTAATTCTATAGCACTCTTCATGCATTAATTAATAAGCAAGGGTATTTTGGTCCATCAATATCTATTTTCCTAAAATCAAGACATATTTATTGAAATTTTTAAGATTTGTGCCAAGGTAAAAAACGACACATATTTAGGAACGGAGGGAGTATAATATAAACCGAAGAAATCCATAAGAATAGTAAATAACATTGAAATAATAACCTATCTAGTCTTTGAAATTTGAGTGGATGTATTAATTTCAATTAATATTTACGACTTTTAGGGCATGCATAAAAATTTATGGATTTGTCGATGTGGCTCATCAATATTCATTTAATTTATGTCGCATTTTTCTCATTGTTATACTCCCTTAATAATCGAATAAATTAAAACTGGGATTTGAAAAAAAAAAATAGTCCTCAAGTTTTTATTAATGAAATAATAATTGTGATTCTTGATTTAGTCTGAAAGATATAATTAAAACTCTTAACACCTTAACAAATCATTTAGGTCTCGTTTGGTTGGAGAAATTAGTCATGACTTACTAAATAATTGTCTTTGTTTGATGTTTGGTATTTCCTCATAATTTGTGTTGATCTCGACCTGCAAATATTATGTTTTTATGGTTTATCTAGCCCTATTTTGTCTTCTGGAGAGTTTTTGTGTTAGACTTCCCGATGTCCGAAAAATATAATATTGAGATTTTCATTATGTTATTTAATATTATTTTAACTAATTAAGCAACCAAAAGATTAAAATACTGTGTGAAGATTAAAATACGAAGTTATTTATTCATCATCACCAAATATTAGCTCGAAAGCAATATCAACTTTATTACAACATGATCAACAACAACAACAACAATAATACATAACTTGGGAAATTAAATTAAATTAAATTCCATCTTATTTAATTTGTTCCTCCAAATACAATTAATTAACGGACAATAGGAGTACGAATCACCACGCCATAATCGTTGACCCAAACCCAGACACGGTCGCACCTGAAGTCCCTAGTGGTCGGAGTTCCATCTTTCAGAACAATGGCGTGCACATTCCGGTTCTCCCTCTCTATCACTGCCGCCGCCGCAGCACCGCTCGACCCCACCAACTCCGGCCACGAAAGCTTCCCTATATATATAAAATTTGAAATATTAATTAATATCAAATATTTACTGAAAAATAAAAATTAGAATAAATTAAGACAAAATCCTAAACATAAGGGTACTTGCCTGGACAGTCTGTCATATCCACTTCTTGTTGCTGCTAATAGTTTGTAATTAAGTAATTTATGATTAATTGATGATAAGAGTGATGGAATGCATGCATATTTGTACACGTATATATAGAGTCTAGAGAGAGAATATATACTATGAGAGAGAAGTTAGGGGGGGGGGGGGGGGCGTTGGCCGATTTTCTTGACTGCTGGTCAACGCTGACGTGTATATAATGGGCTGTATGTATCTATATGGGGTTTAATTGTCAGTAGTCATATTTGACATTACAGCCCATTAATATATACATACAGATTGTGTTCATACAGAATCATCAATTTGACTGTTGGGCTGAATTTGACTGTTCCTCGGCCCAACTAGTGCTTCAAAGTTTTTCTTTTTTAATATTAAAAACATTAATTTATTAATTTAATACATTATTTACTTATCACAAAAATTTATAAAAGAAAAAAAATGGATTTTTTATTTTTATTTTTAATATCTGATATTAAGTTTAAGAACCTCGTGAACTCGTAAACAATAATAATAAAAAAAAAATCGTTTCATGTGACAAACTATGTTTGGCTAAAAATCCAATTATCAAAGTTAGAGAGTTCATTTAACTATCAAATGTGGTTTACAAAAATTGCAGACCGGGGCCTGCATGAAATTAATAAGTCAAAAGTCAACTCTCGGAAAGTTAAGTAAAGCATGTAGATGGCTAATTAACGTTACCTCGAGATTACCTTTTGTAAACGTTCGATGAATTAATTATGCATTATTATAATTGATTATTGTAATTAATAGGAAGGAAAATACTATGATTATTGAAATTGTCAAGTTACAAATAAGTTTGCATATAAGGAGAACGTTATGGCGTGTAGGGGCCCCAAGTGTAAGTATAGTGATGGATGTAAATGTAGAATAATTATTTTGATGTTGACATACAAATAAATGCTACGGTTAGTTGTTACTATCGGTTAATTAAATATATAGTTAGCAGCAGGCCATAACTTCACGAAATTTAGAGGGTTGAAAAAAAAAAAAAAAAAGCGCAATTATTTAAAGGTAAATTTCCACTTTCCCACTTGAACTTTGGTTCAATATTACTTTACCTCATTTTACTCTTGATTGCATCGATTTGCTCCTATATACTTGAAAAAATTGTCTCAATGTGGCCCTTGCCGTTAGCATTTAGACCTTTGACATTAACACCGTTTGATTAAATCTGAAAATACAAAAAAACTACTCCACCCAGTTTAAATAATTATTAAAAAAATTAAAAAAACTAACAAAAAAATTGTGGTTGGCGTCATGTATTATGTTTTCTTGTTGTCTTTAATTTTTAATTTTTATCTTTTTTGTTTTTTTTGGTTTTTTTTTTTAATAATTATTTAAACTTGTATATGTGACGTTTTTGTAATTTCAGAGCTTAGCTCAAACGGTGTTAATGTCAAATGTCGGACAATTAACAACGAATGCCACATTGAGATAATTTTCAAGTACATGGGGCAAATCAATGCAATCGAGAGTAGAAGGGGGTAAAGTGATACCAAACCAAAGTAGAAGATGAGAAATGGAATAAATTTATCACGTAAACCGGTTCATGCTTTCAACCGGCGGTTCAAGGATGAACCACCCTATCTTGAATCTTGACAAAGAACCCCCCTTTCATTTTTGAGGTAAAATCCGACACGTAAACCGGTTCCATAGTTTCCACCGCCGGCACCACCCTGAACCGCCGCAATACTCCGGCGACTACCCTCTTCATCTGCAAGAAAGCCATCTCTTTACCCAAACAAATCCTGGGCCCGGCTTGAAAAACCGGATAAGTAAATGGGTCCCTCCCGACAAACCTCCACTTGTCCTCCCACTCCAACCACCGCTCAGGGCGGAACTCCGCCCAATCCTCCCCCCACACCTCCTCAACCCTCCCCATTGCGTACGGATGGTAACTTATTCGCGTGCCCTTCTTCACCGGAGTCCCATCCGGCAAAACGTCGTCGTTTAGCGCTGATTTCGTGCTCAGGGGCACCGGCGGGTAAAGCCTCATGCTTTCACAGAGTGAAGCGTGTGTGTACACCATGTTCTTCACTTCGTCGTAGATTTGCTCCTCCGAGTTGATCTCTGTTATCTCTTTCAGTATCTCGTTTTCCACCTCCGGGTGGTTGGAGATCAACCAGAAGAACCACGTCAGCGCCGCCGACGTGGTGTCGCGGCCGGCTAGTATGAAGCTTATCACTACGTCGGTGACGAAACCCTCGTCGGAGTGCCCGGAGCTCAGGAATTTAGAAAGAAAATCCTCCGATTCGAGCGAAGATTTCTCTTTCAATTCTTGCTTCTTCTCTCTGACTATTTGCAGCGCGAATTCGCGAACTTTTCCGACGGTGATTTGTAGCTGTTTCTCGCTTCCGATGGAGAGAGCCCTTTTGATTTTCCATATAAAAGGGATGTTTGAGTTGAATCGTTCACTCACGAATCGGAGTGAGTCATCGAACACGGACGCGAACTCGGTCTCCGGCAGAGACGGGACCAAGTACGCCGGATCGTAACCGAAGGCGATCTTGCAAATGTTGTCGAAAGCAAACCTCTGGAGAATGTCCTGCAAATCAAGGACGACGCTCTCGCCGGCGGCGGCGCGTAAGATGGGGAGGAGGCGGTCGGAGAGCTCGGAATCAACGACGTTCTCGACGAAGCGGCGGAGTGATTTGGTGTTGAACTGGTGGCTGGAAATCTGTCTGAGGAACTTCCAGTTGTCGCCGTCGGCGTTGAAAATGCTGTCGCCGAGAAAATCGCGGAGGGTGGCTCTGAAGGCGTCGCCTTTAGGGTAGTTGTGGAAGTGGGATTTGAGGATGTGCTGGACGTTGGCGGCGTTGGCCGTGAATACCTGCCGGTAGCCGAAGGGGCGGTGGAGGGTGAAGGTGAGATTGGGTGTGGAGGTCAGAATTTCCGACACCCATTGCACGCGCCGGTGTTTGTTCTTCAAGATCGCGAAAATGGAGCCGACCACTGGATATGAAATTGGGGTTTTTTTAGTGGAAGAGGGATTTCTGGTAATGGAGAAGATGAAGAAGAAGAAGACAAGTGGAGAGAGAATGGATAAGAGGAGAAGCAGAACTGTGAAGATAAGGTCCGCCATTGTTGTTGCAGAAAATAACAAGATAACTGGTGATTGGGTTCAGAGATATATATATATATATAGTATATATATACTACTTATAGATAATTAAATTTATTATTAAATATTTGTTTAATATATATATTTTGTTTCATAATTTTAAGGTCCACAATAATTGGAAATCAAGTTCAAATCAAGTTTGGTTTCTAAATCTGTATATCTAGGCAGAGAGAGAGAGAGAGTTTGCCCATTAATTCGGACAGCTGCAATAACAATTGCATGCACATTTTCCACGTTTCTTTTCGATGTCGACTTCACTATCCTTTTTCCATTTTGCATCAACTTCTTGATAGTTTACTAGACGTGTCGACAAGACGAAAAAAAGGCGTAGCTTGTATTTTGTCGTAAAGAATTATCGACATCGACAAAGAAATGCAGGATATATTTCTGTGATAAGGAAGCTGACAAGAACGAAACAAAGAAAGCCAGAAGCAATAATTTTTTTTCCATTGCATGAACAGATGAAATTAAGATATATCAACAAAGCTATTCTACATATATATATGTGAATGTATGTATATATACTAACAGCACACCATGCAAAAAGGCAGGAAAGGACTTACTTGCTACATGCCCGCCTGTTGTTCGATACAACGGTATACGTAAATTACATTATCTCCTATTACAACCCCTCTTTCAAACAACACAATCATCAACCTCTAACTCTACTTGTGTATCTCTCTCTCTCTCTTCCAGTCATTCATGGAGAAAACTCGATCTGAAAACCAGCATAATTGTGAATTTCGGACTTGAAATGGCAAAGTACGATAAATGCCATCAAATCGATACAAACATATTCATTAAACGCAACAAAAGTTATATCATGTTACCGAAAATACTCACTTTATTCATCTCTTTGTGAGTTCCATTTTCCGAAATTCTTGTAGGTGACGAGCTATCTCCTGAACTAGTTCGAATCCATCTTTCCCATTCCGGAGCAATTCACAAGCATACTTAAGGAAGCTTCTATCAGACTCTAGTGCTTCCAATCTATCATGCACCTCCGCAATTTCCTTCTCCAAGACCGCCGACAAAGTATCATTTTCCTTGTCATGAGTTTGAGTACCATTCGACAAAGAAACAATTTTATTTCGCCTATTATTATCTTCACTCTCCTCATTCGAAAGTTTCTTCTCCAACTTCCTTAAACACTGCAATATGTGGATCTTCTCATTCTCGAAATCGAGCACCAAACCGTTCACTGGGGTGCAGTTGCCATTCGATTTCGAAATCTTATTATTAACCACCTCCGATTCATCAAGAAAATTATTTCTGTAGAATTCGACCTCGACTTCCAAATCCTGCAATTCTTTCTCCTTATCAGCAAGAAGATCGTTCGCCCTCTCAAGTGCCTCCAAGTCGTACTCAGCTTGCTCCTCCATCATTCGTAAGTACTGCAATGCCTCCATGTGAAGTGCCGCTTTCTCCTCTTGCAATCTCGTTATCATAGCCATTGCCTGATTCGCTGCAATAGCAGAAGCGTTTCTTTCCTCTTCCAAATCCTTGTACAGAGAGTTCATGCACGTTCGATCATGTTCGATCTGACGTTTTAATCGATCGACTATATTTTCGCCTTCGACGTCGCTCAGTGTGGCTCCATCAGAAGAATCGTAGTTGGTCTCGTTTTTCTTGAGTGGGACTGAAATAACCGGAAGCTGTACCACCTGAGCAGTAGTACCAGAATCGTAGTTGGTCTCGTTTTTCTTGAGTGGGACTGAAATAACCGGAAGCTGTACCACCTGAGAAGGAGTAGTACCAGAATCTTCGTACGTTGTGGCTTTATCATTTTTCGATACCGAGTCCACCTCAGAATCAGACACGTGTGTCAGAGGTTTCGCGTATTCATCGGTTTGTGCAGAATCGCATGTCTTGATTTGCTCGAAACAAACATCATTTGACAAAGTTCCTTCATCAGCTTCGATGTGTTTGTCTAGAGATTCATCTTCTTCTCTTTCTTCTTCACCAACATTAACTGTTTCAAACACATTTAAAAGGATCTCATGATGTTTTATGAAAAGACAATATAATGAGAGAGAGAGAGAGAGAGAGAGAGAGAGAGAGAGAGAGAGAGAGAGAGAGCTCCCTACTGTTCTTTTGTACAGTCTCATCGTTCGACAATGGTGGAACACTACATAAAGAAAGGAGCTCAGACAGCACAGAGAGAGCAGACATGTGAGGGGGGAGACAAACATCCGATACTATAGTCTCAATTGGCCCATCACCGTATAAAGAAATCAGCTCCGTTTTATTATTACAAGATTCTTCCAAAACAACTTCTCCTAAATTCTTGCCCTTATCACTTAAATCAAGAAGATTAGGCTGATGATCAAGAACCGAAGGATTATTATTCGAAGGTGTAGGCACACTTCTTCTACCGAATAGAACATCGTATTCCGATTTAGCAAAGCTCTTTGCATCATCATCTTCTTCAGACATCGGTACCTCAGAATCAGAATCTGACGAGATTTTCAGCTTTGTGTATCCCACATGAGACAAAGTATCTTTATTACCCGAAGACGAATGGTGGGCCATAGGGCCGGTGAATTTATCTCTTAATCTCTTCAAACTATCCCTACGGCTAAAACGGCTTCTGCCAGGTGCACGAGGCAGAGGTGGCTTCACATTAGCCTTCGAAGCACCGAAGCCAATAGAGCTACTAAGCTCGAGCAATCTCTCTGCATTCGATTTCGATCTCCACATCTTGCCGCAGCAAGAACACGTCCTTCTGTCGGAAGAGCCTCGGTAAATCTGCTTGTTCAGCATTAGGTTTTGAAGAACCGATCGATCCACATCGACCCATAATTTGCCCACAAGCAACTTATAAGAATCGGGGTTCGCTTTGTTGTTCTGGGCTGCAATGGGGATGAGGCACTCTTCGCACATGCTGTGAATATCGGCGAATTTAGAGTGGGCGGAACACGATACAGAGGTGGAAATCTCTTGTCTGTGGTGAGTGCATAATAGGCTCCAGAAACAATTATCGAGCCTCGAGCACAAGAGACAAGGTGTTTCGAGTTCGCAGTAGTGAGCGTATCTCGTGAGGAGATAGGACAATGCCGATTCCATAAATAGTAGAAAAATTAAGAACCACTCAGAGGCGGCGGAGGACAAAAGCGTCATAAATCCATGGGGTTTCTTCTCTCTCGTGGATGAAGCTTCAGCAGCCATGGCGATCGATAATAGGAATACACGACAAAATCAAATTGTGGAATATGCTTTTCACTCTTTCACTCAATCCCTTCCATGGGAATTCACCAATCTAGATGAAATCTCTGGCAATCAAAAACAACAATAAACAATTGAAACAGGGGAATTAATTAACAGTTCAGAAGCATGAAATTTTTGGTGCAAAAATCGAGAAATCAGCAACCAATTTTCGGAAAATGCGTACGAAACAATATATACACACACACACACGCACGCACACGCACATTCGTCATTTACGAATCAAACACAGCTATTCATGATCGTACAACAAACAATGATTTGGGAGAGAGAAAACCCTAAGCTTAATCAATCCATCGCAATTCGCACGCGAATTAATCCGGGATTAATATCGGCATTAACGAAATTAAATAAGGATGAATCGAGATACACATTGCAGGCATGGATAAAATGATCCCATCAAGGAATTCAAAAACCTGCAACAATCATTATCTATCAAAAAAAAATTAAACATCCGGGAAAGAAAGTGCGTACCATCAGTATTGGTTAATGCGAAAAAACCATGGAGGGAGGAGAGAGAGAGAGAGGGAAAAGCAGGAGGAGAGAGAGAGAGAGAGAGAGAGAAGATGAATGAAAAAAATACGCAGATGATTATGAAAATGTGATGAGCAGCAGCCATGAATATGATCGTGAGACCATCATTGTGTGGGGGGGTGTGAAATTACGATGCGGTCCTCGCACCGGTGAATGGATTGACCGTTGAAACCAACTGATTTTTCAGATTTCCCAGGCTGTCTCACATATGTAAAACAATAGCTACTCTTCTTTTTTGCATCCTATGTATAGCTGATTGGGGCCTGTTTGGATATGCTTTTTTATAATTAGATTACAATTTTTCATTTTTATTTGGTTTATAATCTATTTCCCAGTATTTGCAAATTCACCTTTTTATTTTTGCTTTTTATTTTTTTAAAATAAAATTCTATTAATCCATAATTTCAAAAAAAATGCTTTTTGGGTTTAATGTTACAATGGACATTTTTGCCCTTGTTGTTGTTATTATTATTATTTAAAACAAAATATAAATTCAGTTTTTAAGAACATTTGAGATATTTTACTAGAACAAGATGAAAACTTAATCGATTTGGCAAATTACGGCCACCTCCTAAGGCAATATTAAATTACGTAAAAAAAACCCTCATATTTGAGTAATTACAATCATCCTTCTCAACTATGTATTGTATTACGCGTTCATCCTTATAATATCAAATTTATCTACTGAAGTAATTATACAAATAACACTATAACAATAATTATTTCGTAATTTAATCTTACCTTAAGGGGGTGTCCATAATTTATAATAATATTTGCAAATATCAACAACTTTTAAAACAAACACCAAACAACACCTTACTAACTTAGTAGTTTTTATGTTTTTTTTAATAATGTTTTTTTTTTTTTTTTTTTTTACTTTTTATTTTGCTTGCAGCTGAATATATTTGTTTATTATATTGCATTATTAGAATATTGGAATTTGAATATATCAAATTAATATGTGGATCTATTCCAAAGGTCAGGAGATTTCAGTTAGTTAACTAGATATGCAAATGCTTGTCATCATTGGTAGACAGCTAACAGATAAAATTATTCTCTTTATCCTAATAAGAAAATATTATTAAAATAAATATATGTCCTAATTAAATCACAATTGAGCCATTTGCCAATAATATATTGTACGACATTTCATTTAAATAATGAGATAGGAATTACGAGATACATACCGCACACTAGTGTAGACGTGGTGGCACGTGTGTTAATGATAAAAAAGGTCAAAACACAATTGACCAAATCTTGTTAATTGACATTGTCCTGCGGCCGCCCCAGATCTAATATCAAATTACAAAACTACCTTTCATTTTTAGATAATTACAATCATTCCCTCAACTATATATTATTTTACAAAAAAACCCCTCATTTTAAGTAGGTAAATCTGGCACCGTAACAATGGACATGTATGACAATACATAGTTAAAAGGGTGATTGCAATTGCCCAAACGATAGAGTTTTTTCTTCGTAATTTGACTTTCACCTCAGTGGTTGGCCATAATTTGCCATATTAATTATGTTAATGTGTTAACCTTTTCTTTAGGATGATTTGAAACCTAAAGAAAAGGGTGCACAAAATTAAATATGTCAATATTTTTTGTGCAAACCACATATACATATATATTAGAATTTGTATTATATGTACTGATCCGGATCGAGGCCAGGATTACGAAGCCCAAATACGTTAGCCCACTAAAACGGTCCAGGAATCGCTTAACCAGCCCATATGCGAAGGAGAAGCCCAAGGAGGAGAGTAAAGCCCAAAAGAGAGGAAGAGGTGGGGCCCGCATGGGGATTCGGCGGGCGAGAGTTATCCGCAGTTCCCGACCAGGAAGAGGAAGGTCGGGAAAAGTGGGGAAAATTGAATGCCCTGACAGACCTGGCCAGGCACCCATTAAATGCTCTGACAAGAGCATTTAATGAGCGAATGACTACGTGCGGCCGGGAGTACATGGGATAGACCTACGGGCATCATAATCTCTAGAAAATAGGGTAGTATGATGGCCCGGGCCGACTGGCGGAAAGGTGAAAAGCCCGTCAGAAGCATGCTTTTTACCAGGATCCGAGGGAGCAGAAGGTCTTCCCGCCGAATGTTATAAAAACCCCAAGGATCCAAGCAGAAAGGGGGTTATCTTTATCTTTCTCAAGCTTTAACACAAAAACTCATATATTCATAATACTTTATATCAGAGCCGTGGTACTGACTTGATCGTCGGAGTGCTAACTCCGGCATCAGTCCGGCTTTCCTTTCTCTGCAGATTTTCCGCCATAGCAGGAAGGACAGCTCATCAACTACGTTGTTCTGGAACGGATCAATTGGCGCCGTCTGTGGGAAACTCGAGACAAAAAAGTACACTCAGCTATCATATCAACTCCTTTCATGACGTCGACACCGGAGGTGGCCCGTAACTTATCAAGCTTGCTGGAGGGGGAGCTAACCCCCCCGGGCCTCATAAGTAATCAAGAGACCACGGCAGCCGGGCCGTCGGAGGAGCCCACCCCGGGTGTCGCTAGTACTACACTGGAAAAAGCAGGTACTACGATAACCCTCACAATGGAACACCTTCAGGCGTTGATCTCGGCCGCAGCCCAGGGTAAACCTCCCGAGGTCGGAGGAGGGGGTAGCATGGAAAAGCGAAAGCCGGAGTCGCAGCCGGGGGTGTCGACGATAGACGACGAGCTCCTAATACTGCCGTCAGCCGAGATTGAGGGAATGGCGGGCACCCCCTTCACGGCGAGATTACAGCACGGGGAGCTGCCGGCCACCTATCGACCCGTCACGTATGAATATACCGGGGCCACCGACCCCTGGGAGCACGTCTCTCGGTTCGTCACGTCCGCTTCTCTTCACAGGCTAACGGACGGGGTAAAGTGCAGGGTCTTCGCAACTACCCTGGCAGGCCCCGCGCAGAGATGGTTCAGCCAGTTACCCCGATGCTCGGTCGATGGCTTTACCCAGTTTAGCGAATTGTTCCTAAACCACTTCGCGAGCTCCAAGAAGCAGAAAAGAAGCACGCTTACCCTGTTCGCAGTACGGCAAAAGGAAGGCGAACCATTAAGGAACTACGTGCAGAGATTTAATGCTGCCACCCTCGAAGTCCCTGTCACTAGTGAAGAGGTGCTCATCAACGCGCTGGCCCAGGGTCTACAAATGGGAGAGTTCTTCGACTCCCTTTCCAAGAAGGCACCGGCCTCTTTCAATGACTTGCTCCGGAGAGCCGAAAAGTATATCAACGCAGAGGAGGCCCGCCGCAGCAGGGCCTCGGAACCAGCCCCGACAACTGACAAACGTAGGGACAAAAGTCGAGTGGAAGTAAAGAAGCAAGAACCCTTCTCGCGCAGAGAAGTGGGCACAGAGCGACGAACGGGACCCCGTACGCACCCTTAAGTACCGCCCCCTCGGAGATCCTGACAGCCATCGTAAACCATCCGAAATTGAAGTGGCCGCGCACCTATTCGGAAATGCCAAAAAAGCCTGCCAGTGCCGGATCTTATTGCCGCTTCCACAATGAGCATGGGCATTCCACCGACGAATGTCCGCATTTGAGGGATGAAATCGAAAGGCTTATCAGGACGAAGAACCTTTCGGAGTTCGTTGAGAGCAGTCCAGGGGCCACTGCCAAATACCCGCGGAAAGGGGGGAACGGCAGTGCACAAGCTCCCAACAGGCAGGGAAAAGACGCCGACCTTCAGCTGCCAAACAACTACATTCACACCATCTTCGGGGGCCCCGCCGGGGGAGATTCGAATAGGTCCCGCAGGGCTCACCTGCGAGAACTACAGGAGTTAAGAGGGGAGCTCGCGATGATGTACAGGGTATCCGTTGCCCCGCCTATCACCTTTGGGGTAGAAGATGAGACAGGAATACAACAGCCGCATAATGATGCCCTAGTAATCACGGCCATGGTAGCAAACTACGACGTGGCAAGGATACTGGTGGACACGGGCAGTTCGGCTGATATAATATATTACGAATGTTTCAGGCAAATGCGGTTGAACTTTGAAGTAAGGAAGGTGGATACGGCCCTTATAGGATTCGCCGGGGAGGTGGTGCAGCCAATGGGAGAGGTAACCCTGCCGGTATCGCTGGGAACCGACCCCTTAAAGGCGACGCGAGCGGTAAGGTTTCTAATCATCGACGCCCCGTCCACTTACAACATGATAATGGGACGGCCCTCGATGAACGCATTTGAAGCGGTCGTGTCCACGTTTCACATGAAAATGAAATTCCCGGTCCTTGATCGAGTAGGGGAAGTTCGGGGAGACCAGGAGACGTCTAGGAGGTGCTACAATCAGGCCCTCAGAGGACAACGACGCATTAACCCTGTGGGATGGGATAAAGGGAACCTGAGGCCAGGGAGCGATGACATCGGGAGAACGGAGGAAAAAAGGCCTCGGCTAGACCCGGAAGAAAAGGAAGAGGTCCATGTCCAACCGATGGAAGAACTAAAAGTAATTCAGCTGGACGTAAACGACCCCACCCGCACCACCAGAATAGGAACCACGCTTAACGAGGAAATGAGGGAGGAATTAACGACCTTTTTGCGCAACAATCAGGACGTATTCGCATGGTCCCCCAGGGACCTGAAGGGAATAGACCCTGCGGTGATGGTCCATGAGCTAAACTTGAGGCCGGGGGTGAACCCAGTTAAGCAGAAGAGAAGGCATTTCGGGCCAGAGAAGGATAAAATAATCGAGGAAGAAGTACGGAAGCTGCTGGAGGCCGGGCACATCAGAGAAATAAAGTTCCCGACCTGGCTGTCCAACGCGGTGCTTGTCAAAAAAGCGGAAGGAAAATGGAGAATGTGCATAGATTTCAGGGATCTGAACCAGGCTTGCCCCAAGGATCATTACCCGCTCCCGAGGATTGACCAGTTGGTAGACTCCACGGCGGGGTGCGCAATGTTGAGTATGATGGATGCCTCCCAAGGCTACCACCAAATACGACTGAAGGAGGGAGATCAGCCGAATGTAAGTTTTGTTACATCCACAGGAACATATTGTTATGTCGTGATGCCGTTTGGTCTCAAGAATGCCGGAGCAACTTATCAGAGGCTGGTGGATAGAATGCTCCGCGGGCAGTTAGGAAGGAACATGGAGGTGTATGTGGATGACATGCTGGTCAAAAGTGAGGAGGCCGGGAATCATATCCAAGACCTGAGAGAAACATTCGGCACACTCCGGCGGTACGGCATGAAGCTCAACCCACTCAAATGCGCCTTCGGCGTAGAGTCAGGAAAGTTCTTAGGTTACATGGTAACTAAGAAGGGGGTCGAGGCGAACCCGGAGAAAATACGCGCGGTGATGGATATGCGTCCGCCCCGGAGCATAAAGGAGGTACAGATGTTAGCAGGAAGAATTACTGCGCTAAGTCGCTTTATCTCTCGGGCTGCCGACACGAGCTACCCATTCTTCAAGATCTTGCGGAAGGGGCATCTGTTTGAATGGGGCCCCGAGGCCGATCGCGCCTTCGAGCAGTTGAAGGAGACACTGGCCCGTTTGCCCCTACTTGTGAAACCGAGAGTAGGGGAGAAACTCTACGTGTACTTAGCCGCCGGGGAGCAAGCTGTGAGCGCCGTACTCTTGAGCGAACGCGGGGGGATACAATGTCCTGTCTACTACGTGAGCCGAGTGCTCAAGGGAGCCGAGAGAAGGTACGCGGAGATTGAAAAGATGGGGCTGGCCCTTGTTCTTACTGCCCGGAAGTTAAGACCGTACTTCTTATCACATTCGGTAGTAGTAAGAACTAATTTCCCCCTAAAAAGTACGTTGGGCCGGATGGAGGTGTCAGGCCGGATGGTTAAATGGGCAGTGGAGTTGGGCCAATTCGATATTGAATATGAGCCCCGCACGGCCATTAAAGGCCAGGCGTTAGCCGAGTTCTTGCAAGAAACAATACGAGAAGAACAGGAGGCCGAGTGGAAGGCCTTCATAGATGGGTCGTCAAATCAGTCCGGAAGTGGAGCAGGGATCATGCTGATAAGCCCCACGGGTGAAGAATACGAGTACGCAGTCCGGTTGGCCTTTCGGGCCTCAAATAATGAGGCGGAGTATGAAGCCCTCATATATGCCCTCCAGCTAGCCGCAGAGGCAGGGGCGAACTGTCTAGAGGTATATTCGGACTCCCAGCTGGTGGTCCAGCAGATGAAGGGGATATTCGAGACAAAGGATGAAAGGATGGGAGACTATTGCAGCAAAGCAAGGAAACTGTCTGCCGGTTTCCGTAGGCTAATCCTCGAACAAATCCCAAGAAGCGAGAATGAGAGAGCCGACTTCTTAGCCAAGGTCGGGAGCCTATCTACCGAGTGTGAGAGCAGGAAAATAACTATTCTCCAGGGTCATTCCCGGGAGTATGAGGAGGTGATTGTAGCAAGCGCGGCCTTCGATTGGCGCACTGATATCATTCGATGTCTCGAGGGGCACGAGCTGCCCTGCCGACGCGAGCAGGATAAGTTAATAGCAAGAAGTAGAGGGTTCTGTTTAGAGCGGGGTTCACTATACAAGAGGGGGTTCACGCGACCCCATTTAAAATGCCTAGGCGGGGCCGAGGGATTGCGCGCGATCAGAGAGGTGCACGAAGGCTGCTGTGGAGACCATGCAGGGGGGAGAATGCTGGCCATGCGGCTGTTGAGGGCAGGATATTTTTGGCCCACCATGCGGAAAGATTCGATTCAGTTTGTTAAGGCCTGTGATAAGTGTCAGAGATATGGACCTCGGATACGCGTGCCGGGAGAAGAGATGACTATAGTAGACACCCCTCGCCCCTTCCTACGATGGGGAATAGACATCGTAGGGCCATTGCCCGTAGCAACCGGACAAAGGAAGTTTTTGGTAGTCGCCATCGACTACTTCTCCAAGTGGGTCGAAGCGGAGGCTGTAGCCAGGATCACGGACACGGAAATCATGAAATTTATCTGGCAAAATATATGTTGTCGGTATGGGATACCGAGGGACCTCGTCTCGGATAACGGCACCCAATTCAATTCAGCAAAGATAACGAAATGGTGCAAGGGCTTGGGGATAGGTCAGAGGTTTGCAGCAGTGGCCCACCCGCAAGCGAACGGGCAGGTGGAGGTAACAAACAGGATCCTGATGGAGGGCATCAAAAAGCGATTAGAGAAGTCGAAAGGCAATTGGGTAGAGGAGCTACACTCGGTCTTGTGGGCACACCGGACGTCGCCAAAAGAAGCAACAGGAGAAACCCCGTTCTCTCTTGTTCATGGCTCCGAGGCGGTGATACCACTTGAGATTGGCATCCCATCCAGTCGGATGCGAGGACACAGTGACATCGTAAACGACGAAGGATTGAGAATGGAGTTGGATCTGATCATGGAAAGAAGGGAACAAGCCGTGATCCGGATGGAGGCTAACAAGGCGAGAATCAAGAACGCGTATGACAAAAAAGTGAGGAAAAGAATATTCCAGGTAGGAGATCTAGTGCTCAAACAGGCAGACGCTTTGAAAGCTGTAGGGAAGATGGAGCCCAACTGGGAGGGGCCATATGTAATAAAAAAGGTGTTGAAAGGAGGGGCATACGAACTGGCAAACGAAGAAGGGAGGAGGCTTCCACGACCATGGAACATAGGACATCTTAAAAAATATTTCACGTAAAGCATCGACGTATTTTTGCTCCTGAAAGATGTGCAAGGACTAAGTAACCTAGACTTTTGTAAACCGCGGGTATAAGAAAAACCCCTGTCCGTTTTTGTCTCTTAGAAAGAATGTTCATTAAGTTCTCCCCCCAGGGGGGAGCCCAAGTACTTATGATTTTTCTGCCAAAATCGTAACCGAGAATCTTTTGAAAACACTCGACGAGCTCGAGCTCCGAGTAGAACGAAAGGAAGAATTAGAACTTGTAAACACAAGTACTTACGATTTTTCTGCCAAAATCGTAACCGAGAATCTTTTGAAAACACTCGACGAGCTCGAGCTCCGAGTAGAACGAAAGGAAGAATTAGAACTTGTAAACACAAGTACTTACGATTTTTCTGCCAAAATCGTAACCGAGAATCTTTTGAAAACACTCGACGAGCTCGAGCTCCGAGTAGAACGAAAGGAAGAATTAGAACTTGTAAACACAAGTACTTACGATTTTTCTGCCAAAATCGTAACCGAGAATCTTTTGAAAACACTCGACGAGCTCGAGCTCCGAGTAGAACGAAAGGAAGAATTAGAACTTGTAAACACAAGTACTTACGATTTTTCTGCCAAAATCGTAACCGAGAATCTTTTGAAAACACTCGACGAGCTCGAGCTCCGAGTAGAACGAAAGGAAGAATTAGAACTTGTAAACACAAGTACTTACGATTTTTCTGCCAAAATCGTAACCGAGAATCTTTTGAAAACACTCGACGAGCTCGAGCTCCGAGTAGAACGAAAGGAAGAATTAGAACTTGTAAACACAAGTACTTACGATTTTTCTGCCAAAATCGTAACCGAGGATCTTTTGAAAACACTCGACGAGCTCGAGCTCCGAGTAGAACGAAATGAAGACACCGAGCTTGTAAACACAAGTACTTACGATTTTCCTGCCAAAAATCTTAGCTGAGAACTTTTGAAAGACTCTCGACGAGCTCAAGTTCCAAGAAAAACCAAACAGAGGAATGCAAGTTAAAATGTTTACGACCCTGACGGGCCTAAGTCCCGTCAGAACCGTAACCGAGGGCCCCTAGAATGCCCGACGAAGCTCACCAACTAAACAAGACATAAAAGAAAAATATATAAAAAAGAAGAGATAGTTAAAGTCCCATACAAAAAGAAAAACAAGGGAAGAATACACTAAAAAAAAAAAAAAAAAAAAAAAAAAAAAAAATATAAGCCCCTAAGAAGAAGTAGAGCGATGGGGAGAAAGCATTGCAGGATCAGACGGGGCAAGGGGGGCGGAGGAAGCCGGAAGAAGTAGAGCGATGGGGAGAAAGCCTTGCAGGATCAGACGGGGCAAGGGGGGCGGAGGAAGCCGGACCAACACTTGCCTCGGGAACTCGAGGGGGCACTGGAGCTGAAGAGTGGCTAACTGCTGCCGAAGGACCCGGAGCACCACTTCCTAAAGAAGAAATCAGGTCCTCCGTAATAGGCTGCCACCACGGATGGTTGATGGGCTCGCGAGGGTCTCCCTTCCAAAGAGGCAGCGTCCTGTTTATCTTGCCTAAGACAGCGGTGGGTTCATAGCGAATGGGAGTGTTCGCCTCCTCGGCTATGGCCTCACAAGCGCCTATGGTTTGCTTGACATAATACATGCCGATCGGGCAAGCATCCTTCAGGAACAGCTTAGTATGAGGGTACCGCTCGAACAACTTGACCCGGTACTGGTCGAGAATGGTCAGACCTTCAGTGGTAGCAAGGAGTTCCCCCAACTTCTTCGCTCGCTCGGAGGCCAAACGGCAATCCAGCTCGCTCTGAAACTCCCGCTCCCGGGACTCCATACGCTGCATGGTGCGGGCTAGCTCTTCCTCTGCTCGCACGGCTCGACCCTCCAGAACGCTCCGAGTCTCGCATAGTTTGGACTGCGTTTCCTCGAGTTTCTCCTCGGCGACCTCACACTGGCGGAGCAAAGTGCTGTTCTCGGTCATAAGGGAGTAGATACGCGAGGAAGCCCGCTCGAGGGCCGCACGAGCGTTGGCGGCCTGCTCGTTCAACTCACGGAGAGCAAGGTCCCGAGTGGAGGGATCTTCCTTGCCAAAGCCTGAGGCTACAATGGAACTCGCCTGCAAAGAAAGAATGAGTGTTAGTACGAACTTACGTCAATTGAATAAGTTGATGAACGATCGAAGGATCGCATACCTGCGCCAAGCACAGAGCCAACTTGGCTCGCTGAGAAGAGTGAGGGAGGGATTGGAGGAAAGCTGCATCACCGGGGGCCTGAGCCTTGGACAGTTGGTGGAGCACGAGGTCGGCCGAGCCCTCGGGGTCCGAGGAAGAGAATAGGCTAGGCAACTCTAGGCGGGCCCTTTTCGGGGGAGGAGTAGAACCGCTCAGAGCGAGACGCTTGGAGCTTGTCTCGGCAGACTCTCCTTGAGCTTCCTCGAGTCCGGGATCGCCGCTCGGAAATATAGCCAGGTCCCGCACCTCGGTCTCGCTGTCTAGAAGTTCGATGACAGCTTCGGAACCGGGAAGAGGTAGACCGGAGGAAGGAGATAGAGGGTGCAGAGGGGAATTGGAGCTATGGGAAGGGAGTTCGGGCCCGCGGGAGGAAACCTCGGGCGCGACCTCAGCTGCCGCCATCGGGCTCGAGGCCCCGGCATCTTTCTTCTCGGCCTCAGCCAGTTCCAAAAGCATATCGATCATCATCTCACCTAAAAAAAAAAAAAAAAAAAAAAAAAAAAAAGAGAGAGAGTCAGATCGCAAACATAATAATAATAATGAAAAATAATACAAGCAAATACACACAACTGCCAAGCGGCATCGGAAGTCTGGACGGGAGAAAGTGAAAAGAGTAGGTATACCCCAAGGGCGACGATCAAAGGAAGGGATCTGCCACAAGCCGGCACGAGAAAAAAGGGGGAGACTGTTAATAATTTTCTCAACATTCCAGGCACGGGGGCGAACGCGAGCCAATAGGCCTGCGATCTCATCCTCGAAGCTCATGCCGAGGGCAGCACGTTTAGGAGATTTAGGAGGGGGAGTGGAGTCAAAAGGCCAGGCCGAGGGCGGGCGGACGAAGAAGAAGCGGCGTTGCCAAGAATCAATCTTCGTAACCAGCCCGGCGAAGAGGCGACCTATTCGCGAAGATAAATGATAATAGCCGGAGGAGGACCGGTTGTGGGTAAAGATAGTGAAAAATAATTCTGGTCGGGGGTCTACGCCGGTACTGACGCAGACTATATAGAAACACGACATGAACTTTATGGCGTTAGGATGGAAAAGTTGGAGGGGGATCTTGTATAGGCTGCCTACGTCAACAAAGAAAGGGTGCAAAGGAAGAGTAAGGCCGGCCTTGAATTGATCCAAGTACCAAGTGAGATAGCCCGGAGGGGGACTAGAAGGAGACTGGGAACGGGAGGGGACTAAAAGATGAAAGGAAGCGTCCACGCCCTGGGTGGCGTAGAGAGCTTCGAGGTCAAATTTGTCCACCAGAGAATGGGTTGGTTTCTCTAGGGATTTCTTTTTATTGGGTTGAGGGGAGGAAGAAGAAGGAGCTGTCTTCTTCTTCGGGTTCGGACGACGCCCGCCCCGGCGATTAGACCGCACGGGCGCAGGAAGGGGGTCAGTCCGCCCCGAAGAAGAAGAAGAAGAAGTGCCTTGGGAAACCATGGGATGGGCGATGGTGAAGAAAGCAAGAAAATCAATAACAAAGGAGAAAGGGAGAGCAGAAAGTACCTGGGGAATAGGGAGCACACTAGCAATAAGGGAATGGGAGGAGAATAAAGAGGGTATGGGGAAGGAGAGAAATAGCAGGAAAGGGGGGCTTTAAGTCCAGAAGGCGGGCCCCAACGACAGTCGAAAAGACACCCGTCATTAAAAGGCACAAGAAACGAAGAGCCCCCACAGGGATTGACGGCTGCATAGGGAAGTGCGCTAAGCGGGAAAACGAAACGATCGGATGGGGTAGATGAAAGGACGTGCCGCGGACGCGAGGAGGTAAAGAACTCCGAGCCCTAAAAATATAGGACTCGGAGTGGGGGACTAGTTGATCCGGATCGAGGCCAGGATTACGAAGCCCAAATACGTTAGCCCACTAAAACGGTCCAGGAATCGCTTAACCAGCCCATATGCGAAGGAGAAGCCCAAGGAGGAGAGTAAAGCCCAAAAGAGAGGAAGAGGTGGGGCCCGCATGGGGATTCGGCGGACGAGAGTTATCCGCAGTTCCCGACCAGGAAGAGGAAGGTCGGGAAAAGTGGGGAAAATTGAATGCCCTGACAGACCTGGCCAGGCACCCATTAAATGCTCTGACAAGAGCATTTAATGAGCGAATGACTACGTGCGGCCGGGAGTACATGGGATAGACCTACGGGCATCATAATCTCTAGAAAATAGGGTAGTATGATGGCCCGGGCCGACTGGCGGAAAGGTGAAAAGCCCGTCAGAAGCATGCTTTTTACCAGGATCCGAGGGAGCAGAAGGTCTTCCCGCCGAATGTTATAAAAACCCCAAGGATCCAAGCAGAAAGGGGGTTATCTTTATCTTTCTCAAGCTTTAACACAAAAACTCATATATTCATAATACTTTATATCAGAGCCGTGGTACTGACTTGATCGTCGGAGTGCTAACTCCGGCATCAGTCCGGCTTTCCTTTCTCTGCAGATTTTCCGCCATAGCAGGAAGGACAGCTCATCAACTACGTTGTTCTGGAACGGATCATGTACCAAGATTCAAACCCAACAATTAAGATAGCCATGTGTTCATTAAAGAATATTGATGGAGAGCTTCAAAAACAGAACTACCTTCAATTGTGAAAGAAACTAACTTTCGGTGGAAGGAGATAAATAGCACCACCATGTTACATTAAAAGTTAAAACTTTAATGTACAATGTTTCAAGTAGTGTTTGGGTCGGTTTTATCGACCAACCGACACATTTTCGATCTGTTTTTTTTTGTCGATAATTTCTTTTGCTGTAATTCTGTAATTTTAACCGACTTTAGAGTAAACTATTTACCAAAACGATGCTGTATACATGTATAAAATTATGAGTTGGAAAAAATATTCTGTAATTTTAACCGACTTTAGAGTAAACTATTTACCAAAACGATGCTGTATACATGTATAAAATTATGAGTTGAAAAAAATATTATAAGAGAAGCAATAGCTGAATTTACATACATCCAAAAATAGATAATGAAAAATAAATAAATCGTAATCTCCAGTAAAACCTCGATAAATTAATAACCTCGCTTAAATAAAAAAAAATTCATTTCCCAAGTCGATAAAAATATATTAAATTATTAATTTGATGATCTAATATTTCGTTAAATTATTAGAATTTTAATAGTTCCGATTGTATTAATTAGGGCTTTAAGCTCGTAGAATTGGGCCTTCGGCTACAAATTAGGGCCTTAAGCTCGTATAATTGGCCTTCGGCTACAAATCAGGGCCTTAAGCTTGTAGAATTGGGCCTTCGGCTAAGATTAGGGTTTGATTTTATATAGTTGATGAAATCAATCCATAGCCCAGAACCAGGACTGAAAATCCAAAGCCCAAAACTCCAAATGTTGGATCACAAATCCATGGGGGCAAATCGAGTTCCAAAAAATTCTTCAATTCAGCTCCGCAATCGAACAAAATTGATCACTCGGCTCTTCGTTTTCTTCGAAATCGGTAAGAGATTCAGAATCAAATGAAGCAGCTTCAGCTTCTGAGACATTGTACTGTAAGTGATGTCGTAATTAGCTATCCTAAAAAAAAAATCCACCTCTAAACTGATGAAGAAACTAACACTGCTGCCGGAATTTTCAAGGTAGGAGGGATTAGGGGTTTCGCTGCGCAGAGTGGAAAGGGATCAAATGTACAGAGTTTGAAGATTGAAGGGATTACGGACATCATAGCTGTTGCTTCCGGCAAAGGTGGTGTTGGCAAGTCTACTACAGCTGGTACTGTACGATCATCCATTTGTTGTTTCTTCAATTTTTTATTTATTGGATGATTTGTTCATTTGGTGTTGGGTGTTTCTTTGTGTTTGGAATATGGGTTTTGTGGTGAAGTTGTTAATTAGGGTTTTAATACATTGCTGCACTGGTCTTGCTTTCTATGTGTTGTGTGAATTTTGTAGTTAATTTGGCGGTTTCACTTGCAAATAAGTGCAAGCTTAAAGTTGGGCTTCTCGATGCGGATGTTTATGGGCCGTCGATTCCAATGATGATGAAACTCCATGGAAAGCCTGAAGTGAGTGCAGGTGCTGCCTTAATTTACTTTCAAATTTTATGTTTTTCTGCACCTTCAATATTCATATTATCGAGTTTTCCTTGGAAATATTTAAAACGGAACAAATTGCGGTCGATTCGGATTTTCAGAAATTATAAAGTACGTATCGGCACATTTTAATCTGTTGTGCTTGATTCGATTTTACATCTTAGCAGATAAGAAAATGATCCCTATCGAGAACTATGGCGTCAAATGCATGTCAATTGGATCTCTTGTGGCAGAGGGGGATGCACTTGTCTGGAGAGGTCCGATGGCAAGTGTTGATTTTTTTTTTATGCCATGATTAATTTAAAGTTTTATGTAACAATCGAAAGATGCCTAAATTTAAATGACATCATCGTATGTATCTTTCAGGTAATGAAAGCACTTGAACAGATGACAAGAGGAGTTCATTGGGGAACACTAGATATACTTGTCGTGGACATGCCACCTGGCACCGGTGACGCTCAGATTTCCATCTCCCAGAGATTGCAATTGTCAGGTATTTAACGACTTTCGACACTAGTTTTTGAAACGATATACCTTAATTCTTTGATTTAATTAAAAAAAATCCATTTATAAGGATCGTTTTTTGGGGTTGTTGCAGGAGCACTAATCGTTTCAACTCCTCAAGATGTAGCATTAATGGATGCTCGAAGAGGTGTTAAAATGTTCGCCCAAGTTAATGTGCCGGTATGGTATACCCATTTCTCGACCTTTTTTATAATTTGTAATTTGTTAAAATGTTCGCCTAAATTTGCACTCTTTTTTTTTAATAATTTTTTTTTGCTGCTATAAGACTTCGGATCTTGAAATTGATCTCATGACTGTTTTTTTTGTCTCAGATATTAGGAATACTGGAGAATATGAGCTATTTTAAATGTCCGAAATGTACCGAGCCTTACTACATTTTCGGAAAAGGTGGAGCTCAAAGAACTGCTGATGAAATGGATATGGAGTTTCTTGGCGAGGTATGTATTGCTGCCATTTTGGTTATACTATTATTCGAAGTTCAAATACGAAGATGGTAATTCTTGTTAACATATGACTTGGTACTATGTTATGTAATATTTTTCGGTAATGCGCTGAATTTATAAATCTAGGTACCGTTGGAAACGGGGATCAGAAGTGGTTCTGATGAAGGTGTCCCTGTTGTGATATCCGATCCCGATTCTTTTGTATCACGGGCCTACGCTGATGTGGCACAAAAGATCGTCAGAAAACTCGAACTAACCAGACGACAAAACTTAGGGCCTGAAATAAACCTGTGAAAAACCGAGTGGGGTAAATGGATTATGTAGACAAATTTTGATCTTGTATGAACTATATATTCCAATAATCTAGTTTCTTGATTTTTTTTTTAAATTAATTAATTAATTAAATTTAATATGTTCTGTTTTAGTGAGTGGGCCTTGTTTCAACCAAACGCACACATTATATTATGCCATATATCCAAATCAATAAGAATAAAAGCTATTCCCATCAACTTTCAACTCTAATTTGATCGACCAAAGAAATAGTTTATACTTTATACTATATCGGTACTTTATACTATATTGGGTAGATCTTTCTTAAGCACACAACACGCATACACCCAAATTGGTGTGTGTAGATTAACCGTAAAAATACACCTGATGTAGCCTAGTATAGATGTAGCCTAGTATAGAAATAAGCGGAAAGAAATTAAACTCAGTTAAACCTCACTAAACTATTCAAGTTTAGTTTTTGATTAATAATCAAATTAAATAAAAAGAAATAATTTCCACTATATCAAATTGAAAAAACAAATTTCAAAGTACTAAACAATATTTTGGAGTAGAGTCGATACATACATAGATATATATATATACCTTCTATATATATATGTTTGACCACTTTATCCTGTAAAAGCCAAGGGTCTGGTATTCTGATTTAACAGCACAATTTCAATAGAAAACTGAAAACTGCTCTGCTGCAAGTTGGGCCAATCCCTCTTTCCCTATTGATTTGCTTCTCTCTCTCTCTCTCTCTCTCTCTCTCTCTCTCTCTATATATAAAAGGTTGATCAGATTTTTTCAGTTTTTCATCATCTCTGTGAATAGTTGTGCCATTTTTCATCTCACTCTTGCTGCTTACCCGTTTCTGTTTGAGGATGCATAATCAGGCTGCCTTATCCCTTAAATCCAATTATGCCCTTTTTTCTCCATACCCAAACACCTTTCAAAACCCTATACTATCTCCGTCTTCTCTAGCGAAACGGAATTTCTGCTACTATTCGATTTTGAAATGTAGGGGAACTGAAATTCATGTATCCAAGCAGCACCTGAATTCTCTGAGCTTCGGCAATGGCTCAGTGGAAGACGAGAGGGTTAAATCTGCCGGAGTGAAGGATATCGACGTGGCAACCCTTGGAAATCTGTGTGTTGATATTGTGCTCAGCGTCCAGCACTTGCCTCCGAAGCCCTTGGATCAACGTAAATCTTATATGGACGAATTATCCAAGTCGCCTCCTGATAAGGTTCTTGCCATTTTATTTTTATTTTTATTTTCTTTTTGTTTTTTGCTTTTGGGAATTGGGATTTTGAAATGATTCTTACTGAAGGTTCTTGAAATCCCCTGAATTCACACACTGATACTTATGGTATCCTCTTATTTTAAAGAACAGAAGAGATGAAATATATTGTTACATATGTCCTGAGCAGATGAGCATGTGAGTTTTTATGATTCGAATGTTAGGTTTTCATAATACTGGGGTACGAGCCCGGGAATCAATACAAACGAGTACCGTAGATTTATTTTTTTATGATTCTATTTTGGCCAGTAATTGTCGATTAGCCCTCAAAATCGGTAGACGGAGAACAAACTTACTAAGTAGAGGACTGATCTGAGATGAAATAAAATTAAACGAGACAGGACACTGTCAATTCTTGAGGGGTTTTCTTCTGTGAATTCTTTAGTGTGTTTAATAATCCCTTTGGCTTGGAAACTTGGAACTGAAAATTTCAGAATAGTTAGCAGTTACTTATAGTTGTGTAACATATGTTATTTGATGAAAAAATGGTTACAGGTGTGCTCCCTATCGTTTTGCTGCTCAGTGTTCAGTTTATGTTTTAGTAATTCATTTTGCATCTAATTTTGTACGTATTCGTGTTACGGGAGTTAATGATTTAGCACTGTTTATAGAAATACTGGGAGGCTGGTGGCAATTGCAATATGGCCATAGCTGCAGCTAGATTAGGACTTCATGTCGCTACAGTTGGTCATGTTGGTGATGAAATCTATGGCCGTTTCCTCTTAGACGTACTTCGTAATGAAGGAATCAAGACTGTTGAAATGAATGAACGGAATGATAAAATCGACACATCCAGCACAGCGTATGAAACACTTCTGTGCTGGGTTTTAGTGGACCCTTTGCAAAGGCATGGTTTCTGCAGGTATAGAAAAATCGGTTTAAGATTTATATCTATCTTCCTTTTGATGGTTCTATTAAGCTATGTTGGATGTATAACGAAAAAGTTCTCACTTCTAAGCCTTTCATTTCTTTCGTTCTTTTACAGTCGTGCAGATTTCAGCGACGAGCCTGCATTTAGCTGGATGAGCACACTATCCAACGAAGCAAAGATGGCTATAAGAAGGTCAAAGATCATTTTCTGCAACGGTTATGGATTTGATGAACTTTCACCTCATTTGCTCGTGTCCGCTTTGGATTATGCCGTGGAAGTTGGGACATCGGTCTTTTTTGACCCTGGACCAAGAGGGAAGTCTCTGAGTACTGGAACGCCTGAAGAACGCAAGGCCCTTGACAAGTACTTGAGGATGAGTGATGTTCTTCTATTAACTTCTGAAGAGGTATGAATAAGAATGACGCTCTTTCGTAATTTCACATGATTTATACTTATATGCCTATCATTGGGTACACACTACTTGTCTCTTTGAACATGAGAAAGACTAACTCATGTTGTCATATCATCACGATAAGGGCCGCGTAAAAGAGAACATCCGATCATTATTTGTTAGAATGCTGCATAATAATGCTAAGCTCTTTCAAGCTTCAAAATTTACCTTGTTTTCCAACTTCTTCAATATTTGTTCGACCAGGCCGAATCATTGACTGGCACAGTGGACCCGATAGTAGCGGGACAACAGTTGCTCAGGGAAGGAATTCGCACAAAGTGGGTGATTATAAAAATGGGTGCAAAAGGTTCCATTCTGATCACCCATTCTAGTATATCTTGTGCCCCTGCATTCAAGGTAATAATTTGTACATCCCATAATTTGTTCGTCTTTTCAAATTTTCTTGATTTCTCACTCCCACCACTTCTAAAGTTGAATTGTTGAGTTCACCAAGGCCTCGTTTGGGTAGCATTGATAAGATTGATTGATTGGTTACGATTTCATTATGCATGATAATATTGTCTTTTTTTCCCCCCCTCCTAATTATAATTGTTATTTGAACAGGTGAATTTGATAGACACAGTTGGGTGTGGGGATAGTTTTGTGGCAGCTATAGTGTTCGGTTATATACATAAAATGCCGTTGGTGTATACATTAACCATAGCAAATGGAGTGGGGGCCGCAACTGCTATGGGCTGTGGTGCTGGTAGAAACGTAGCTACTCTGAAGCAGGTGTTGGAACTTTTGAGAGGATCAAATATCAACGAAGACGACAGTTATTGGGTGGAGTTGCTAAAGTCACATTCGGGTGCACAGGAAATCACGCTACTCGCGAAACTAGCCGTAAACGGAAACCATAATTGGCTGCGGCGGGCCCCAATGCAGAACGTCGTTTCTGAACTACTACCCAGGCTTGAATGTGCACAGACGAACCAGGTGGGAGCTTGTTGATTGAAGAGCAGGGTCGTTTTAGCAGTTTTTTTTTGTGGTTATGAAGAAAAGTAGAAAGAAAGGCCGATTTTTGTTTTGATCTTTTTATTGGTGATCTATGCCGTCTGCCGTGCACTAGTTATGATGAAGAAATCTTAATTTTCTTTTTTCCATATAAAACAGCATGCCTGTAGTTCAACTTTTTATTTTAGTAAACATCAAGTTCTTTCTCTGTGTGCCGGTTTAGTCTTTACCATCGAGTTCTCGAATGTTGACCGAAGAAGATGATCTTAAATTCTATACAAAAATGTAAATGCTTACATCAGTTTCCAGTCTGTTCAAATGCTGCATTCTAACTATTCTTCTTTCTTAAAAAGAAATGTCATTTATTGACTAATTTTAGTTACTGTATATTGTCGTTTTTCGGTAAATTAATCGAAAGACGAAAACTTTAAATAAATCCGTTCAACAAAAACTATCTTTCTTCTTCCACGAGTGTAGTACACAACATATTTTACACGACCTGTGAAAAAGGAAAACTAATATATATTTTCAATATTCATTCAATACAAGTAACGTTTTCATATTTCCTTAATTGCTAATTAGTCAAAAACATTGTGCTATTTTTTCTATGACAAATGGTTTAGACGGCCAAGAAAGCACATTACTTAATTAGCTATATAACCCATCTTTCTAGATCACTGAAGAAAATTCAACCCTTCTACATCCAGCTTTTGCAGCCTCTCCGCTGCAGGCCAAAAAAACAAAAATAAAAATAAAATAATCATTAAGGAAATTAAGACAGTAGTACTTAATAGTAATAATAACGATTGTATTAATAATTATGTCTTATTAATTGATGTCATGGGACTCAAATTACTGAATTAGACACTAATCTAGAAGGTTGAGAGAAAACACGTTCCTAAGTTCCCACCAGTCCATACTATTGTTAGTTGTCATAAATGACATTACAAAAACATATAATAATAATATATGTTATCACTCTTTCCCTCTCTCTCTATATATATGTCCATCATCCTTCATAAATCTCAATATATTGCTAATACATCATACATATAGCAATCAAGAATACATACACACACACACACACACATATATATAATCTTATAATTAGTTACTTCTTAGCATTTACTAAAAATGGTGGGTGCTAGCAATAATGGTGAGTACGATTGGGCTAAGGAGATGAAGGAATTCGACTCAACGAAAGCCGGTGTTAAGGGTCTCGCCGATGCTGCTCTGTCCGAGATCCCAAAACTCTTTATCCATTCACCTGAGGTTTTGCACAGCAATCCAATACTCAAAATAACCGATGGCGGCGCACGACTCGATCTCCCCACCATTGACTTTCAGGGTGTGGCGGAGGAGCAAGGACGGCGGCAGGTGGTGGTTGAGGAGATCCGCAAGGCGGCGCAAGAATGGGGGTTCTTCAGAATAGTGAACCACGGCATTCCTTTGGAGACGATGGACGCCATGCTGGACGCTGCTAAGCTATTCCACGAGCAGCCCACCGAAGAGAAGAAGCCGTTCTACTCGTCAGATAGCAGGAGAAGAGTCAAATTCAACAGCAATTTACCCGTCCTCGAAAACAATGCCGCCTGTTGGAGGGATGTTCTCAGCTGCGTTTTCCTCGACGATCAACTCGACCCTCAAGATTTGCCTTCTGCCTGCAGGTATTTAATCATAATTCAATTAATTATTTATTCATAAATAATAATAAATATTTAACAAATGCAGAAAGGAAGTGCAAGAGTATGTGAAATACATGATAGAACTGAGGGAGGTAATGGCGGAGCTGCTGTCGGAGGCACTAGGGCTTCCGAGCGACCATCTCTTGAACATAGAGTGCATGAAAAGTCAGGCACTTGCATGCAACTATTACCCAAAATGCCCTCAGCCTCACAAAACATTAGGCTCGTCAAAACATTCAGACACTACTTTCCTGACACTGTTGATGCAGGACAGCATAGGGGGGCTCCAAATTCTTCACAACGACGAATGGATGGATGTGCCGGCGGCACGTGGGGCACTCATAGCAAACATAGGAGATCTGATGCAGATAATAAGCAACGACAGGTTCATAAGCGTGGAGCACAGAGTTGTGGCTCAGTCTGTGCAGAGGGTTTCGGTAGCGAGTTTCTTCACACCGAGTCTGAAAGCAATGGGGAAGCCATTTGAGCCGATAAAAGAGCTTCTCTCTCCTGAAAATCCGGCACTCTACAGAGAGTTCCTATTCAGGGAATACTGCGAACATTACAAGACTAAATTCCAGGGCGTTACCTCTGCCAAGCCTCATTACAGGATCCAATGATTATATACAGTGTCTCGGATTTCTTCGATCGATCAGCTACCAGCAATAATAATAATTATTATGATATGATATATGACCCCTTCATATTTTCACTTAAAAAAAAAATAACGGAGCATTCGAGATGTTCCTGTAGTTTTTGTGTGTCTGCATTTCGTATTTATTAAGAGATTTTATTATTAATCTTTGTAATACATAGCTTGTTTTCGTTCTTATTTGTACCAACCCTTAGTGATTGTGTTGGAACAATTTATTTGATTGTAAGGCTTGATCCCCTCAATATATTTCTATTCATACATATATGTACCAGTTTTTGCGAATAATTAGTCAAATTAACGACACCAATTTGTACTTTATTAGAAATGGTAGTTTTTCTTTATTACACGTCTCGTGTGATTTGTTAGCTATAGTAGGGTATATATGCCTACGAGTTTCTCTCCGTAAAAATAAATAAATAAGGCATTTGTTTAGAGGTGAGCTTCCCATATAAGCTTGGCATATGGTTGAATAATAAAGGTTCTTCTGCTAGTACTATTGCCCATCCTTTACCATAGTGGGAGGCCAACATATATACCTTACTTCATACTCAGAATAAAACTTTAATCTTTAAACAAGTCAACCCTTAATTATTTTCAATATATCCTTTGCTTTTTTCAATATTTTTTTGAAATATCAAATTGATGCACCTTATGTGTATATATATACACCCCATAAGCAAAACGCAAGACTAAATATCTCTCGACTCACTCCACCCCCAAAAAATTTCCTTGTTGATCCAAATATGATGAATATGTTGAGGGGAATGTTGTCTGGTGTGAAATCTTTCATGTATGTATATATAATATACATGTTCAACGAAAATGGATGATTTCGGACCAGGCTTCATTCCCCTCAACCTGGAATATTAAGGAAATAAACTATTCAAATCTGAACACGGTACCAGTTTGTTACCTTGAGTTGTCTTTCTGTGAATATATTCAGGCAGGCGCACGGCCATAATCACGGGGAAGAAGGCGCATCCACCAGTTACCATTTTCACCTTCCTGTATTTGAGAACAATGATAAACCACACAAGGTAAAATCATCTAGAAGCAACAAAATATCAAAAAAAATGGTTGAATATTATCAATTATGTTCAAGGAAGAAACCGAGTAAGATTACCTTTTGCTCGTCTTCACTCTTCAATACCGAGGGAGCTATCCATGGCCAGCCGCTTATACATAGTTGAGATGGAAACGGATTTAGACCTGGAAGGAAAACGAAAATTCGAATAGTGTATATTTTGTAACACCAAAATCATTTTTTTTTACGATTCTAGAAATAGATTTCATAAGCATTACTGCATTGATAAAACTGTGAGCACGTCAGCTGCAAGACACTTACCTGAAGATTTTCCAGAGCACAACTAGTCTTTACGCTTCTATCTCGGTCCACAATAGAGGCATAAGTGGCCAACAACAAACGAAATCTTGAAACAACAAAAAACAAAGAGATGGATAAATTTGTAACAATAATTAGTAAAGAGATGGAAATTTCAAAAGCAAGTCTAATATAGCATAATGTTCTTTGTGCAAGTAATTTGGTTTTGCTGGACTAGTCGAGTGACTTCGTTCCTACTACATGATCAGATCCACCGTTTTCCCCACTGTCTTCGAGCCCTCCCATGGGCAGACTAGTCAACATGCAAAACTTGTACCGTCGTAGTGTGAACAAACTTTGTAGCCATAATATTGAAGAGATTTCGAAACAATAATTGGTGAAGATTTTGCTTGCTGTCACTTTTGCTCCATTGGTTTTGTTGTGTCTAGACTTGCAAATTAATTTTAGAAGTCTATTTGGCCCATACTTTATAAATTTAATCTACATTTCTCCTAGAAAAATATCTAGATATCTTATTTTAAAATATTGAGATACCTTTATGATGTTTCTAGCATGTAAACTATGGCCGTTATATAATCCTAATCCTGCCATTGATTAGGAAGGTTATTAGTATAAATATAACTATAATATCTCATTTTGTATCAAAGCCAAAAAAACAAAAATAAAACTTACTTAACGCTACAACATTGTCGATGAAACTTACGTAACCATATATACCTCTGCTGATCAAACTTACTTAACCCTGTAACCCCGCATGACCACAAGTCAGTCGATTTGAGTACCTCAAACTTACTTAACCCTGTAACCCCGCATGACCACAAGTCAGTCGATTTGAGTACCTATGGAAATTAAAAAAAGAATGCGAGAGAGAAGTATATTTTAATAATTATTCTTAATCTAAAGGTTTCCAGCAACATCGAGCAGTAACTTTTCTGGCTGCATACACACAATGACTATTCGAAGTAATATTTTAAATGGTGAATTAAAATAACTTGAGATCTCTCTGGAAAACTCCTCATTTTAATAATTATTCTTAATCTAAAGGTTTCCAGCAACATCGAGCAGTAACTTTTCTGGCTGCATACACACAATGACTATTCGAAGTAATATTTTAAATGGTGAATTAAAATAACTTGAGATCTCTCTGGAAAACTCCTCCATAGACGGCTGCCATGGAAAACCCTAATACTTTTGAATATATGTCTACTATGGCAATCTTAGTATATACCTTTGTATCTACACAAGAACACTCGGACAACTATTAGCTTCAACACTCAGCAGCTCGTCAATTTTGTATTCATTCCATCCACGTAAAGTTGTATCATAAAAACACGTCAACTCCAGGGTAGCGATTCACTATTAGACGCAAAAATAGATCAATAAATTTACAGATAAAGAAAAAGATAGAGAAAAGTTAATTAATTAATGATTTACTATTAATATCTTATATTAACATATCCCAATACAGAGAATTAAAAGAAATGTGGGTTAGATACATTGATCATTCAGTCTGACTTCATTACTGATGGACACGCTTTTGATTTGCTTCTATCTATATGGTCCACCCACCATCTTCCCAAGAAAGACGAGAGGAAACAAGAAAATAAATTATTAGAAAGTTACTCCAAGTACAGGATCAATTGAATTTAAGCGTCCAACATAATGGCGTTATCCTACCCACGATCAATTATCGGTTTTTAATATTCATGTTTAATATACTAGTTTAATTCATGTTAAATAAATATTTATTATTTATGATATTTTGTGAGGTAATCTTTAAGAAAGGTTGTCCCGAACAACATGTTTATTTAATTCAAAATTCTAGATCTCAGCCCCATAATAAAATATTCATGAATATTCATGATTCTGCCTCGCCTTTGGGTGAATGCATAATATTTTTCGGTGAATTTTTTTGCGTCACTTTGAATGAAGATTGGAAGGACGAAATTAAAGACAAATAAAACTCGGGGATGAATTTGAAGTTGAGGACAAACCTCGGGGATCGGATGATTTTGAATTATACCCCTTGATAATTGAATAAATGCACAATGTGAAATTTAATGTAAATGAATAGCATGGTAAATAAATGCATAATAACGTAGATTGCATTACCTTAATTCCGGCAAATTTAAATCAATCGTAAATGAATTTCATTATGTAATAGGCTTCAATGTGCAAAATAAATATATACTTTGGGGTCAGAGATATAGAGTAGGCTGATACTACCAGAAATTGACCTCGGTATGAGTTGAGGAAACCATCCTGCAAATTTCCAAAGAGCTCGATTCGACTGAATTAACCCTTATCTGCACATGCACAATCGCAACTGAAATAGTCGCAATTAACAAAAATACAGTAAGGTTCTCTCATTGATTCCACTATTCTGATTTCCCGCTCAAAATCCAAAATTGAAACAGAATGAATACTGTTAAGTGTATATTTTTACACTTTATCGTATCTTTTTATTTGAGCTTTTGGTGTGTTTTAACGATAATTAGTGCTTAAAAAGTTGATTTATTGTATTTTAGGTACAAATTGAAGAATTGGAAAAGTATGGGGTCAAAACTGCAATTTTGGAGAAAATATGGGCCAAAAGTGAAAAAAGCAGAATTCTGGAGAATAGACCGCGCGGCCGTGCGGATTTTAGGCATAAATCTCACACGGCCGTCCGGATGGGCGAGTTGGCGCAGTGAGGGAATCTTAATTGTACAAGGAAACTGCCTTCTTCCCCAAGTTTTTCACCCTATATAAGACCAAGCCAAGCACACAATTAGGGATCCTTTTTTTTACGAAATTTCAAGAGCCTCAAAGCAATAAAGAAGACGAAGAATTCGAAGACTCCAAGCATAGATTTATCGTCTATGATTTATTTTATTTGCGTTTTTGATTTAATCATGAGTAGCTAAACTACTTATTTCTAGGATTTTATTTGGAACCCTATGTGGGATTTATGAACCCAATTCTATGATTTTATGCAAGTTTTAATTCCGGATTATTTCTTCTACTTGTTTTATTAAGTGCATGAACTTGATCAACTTATGTGCTTTTATGTTATTGTTAATCGCATGAATCGGAAGATCGGGTTAATAATTAGAACTGTGGTAGAAGAGCCTTTGTGGTATTAACATAGGAATATAGTTAATCTCTTAGGTAGCCATTATTGAGATTTGTGTTTAATGCTGTGTTCTAGAATTAATTGCATAGGAATATAGTAATTGAATCTAGAGTATTAGAATCGTAATACACGCGGAAGCGGGTTATGATTATTTTAGCATCTCAGGTTAATAATCCGGGTTAATTGCTTGCATAATTGAAGGAATTGAGGGAATAATAATCACATAGGGGGAAGAATAAAATCCTAGGCTTGTTTTCTCTGATTAAATCTTCGTTTTAAACTGCTTTCTTGTTTTTGTCTTTTTAATTGCTTTAGTTTAATTTAGTTTATTAATCCTTTTTCGACTGTGTAGGGTGGGCTTGATAATAATTGGTAGAATTTAGCGTCTAGGATTAGATAATTAAATATTCCCTGTGGGTTCGATATCCGGACTTTTAGTCCACTATATTACTTGTACGATACGTGCACTTGCGTGTAGGTTTTTGCCCAACAAATACAATTCTAAGTATTCTGATTTCTGGTTCATGTGTAGTGAACTCGATCCAGTATCTTACATGTTGAGCTCGAGGAACTACAACTTTAACTACCGGCACTCCGTATTCATCGTGTCCTCATTTCTTCGCCCTTGTCAGAAAAACTGGGAATCAATTCGAGATATTTCAGGTAGCTTTGGTCTTTCGACAGTAAGTCCACAACAATAGCTGCTGTGTATGAATCCGGTACGAAACTTCTCTCCGCCATCAAATGAAGAAGCTCCACCACTTTGTCTGCGTCATTATTATCGCAAAATCCCCGCATAAGCGTGTTAAAGGTGGCTACATCGGGAGCACAACCTTTCTTCTCCATCTCCAAAAACAGATTATTCGCCTTTTCTAACTGTCCACCCTTGCAAAACCCATTGATCATGATTGAATAAGTATAAGCACTTGGTGCCAATTCCATTTCGGAAAATCTCCCAAACAGCTCACTAGCAAGATCAAGCTTGCCCGCCTTGCACAATCCGTCAAGTAGACAGTTACAAGTTAGACTGTTCGGCTTATAGCCAGATTTTTCGAGAGTTTGAAAAAACTCTATTGCCTCCTCAAGACAATCATTCTTGCAAAACCCGTCCAGTAATATACTATACGTAGCAGAATCCGGAGTTAGATCGTAATCTTTTATGCTGGAATAAAGTTCTTGCGCGTCCTTAACTTTACCCTTTTGAAATAGACCGGTTAATAAAGTGTTGAAAGTAATTACAGTCGGCTTGTATTTATTGCAAAGCATTTCTTTGAAAAGGCTCATTGCCTCGTCCGATCTGCCACACTTGCAATATCCATTAATCAACACGTTATAGCTTGCAACATCTCTCTCGTGGCCTTCATCCCTCATTGAGACAAACAACTTTCTTGCATCACCAATTCTACGCTCCAGACAGTACCCATCGATCAAAGTGTTGAATATAATCGAATCGGGCTTCTCTCCCCTCCGAATCATGAAATCCAACAGCCCACTCGCTTCATCGGTTTTGCCCTCCTTGCAAAGTGCATCGATCAGCATATTAAACGTCACGACATTGGGCCGAATTCCTCTATCCATCATTTGGAAAAATAAATCTCTCCCCCTCTCCCAATCACCGATTCTGCACAAACCGTTAATTAAGGCGCCATATGCAACGACATCAGCGGAAATACCCCTCCCCTCCATTTCAAGAAACAATTCTTTACCCTTTTCCACAAGACCCTCTTTACACAAACCATCAATGAGGCAAGAATAATAAATCAAATTCGGATCAAATTTCAAATCAAAACCGACAGTTCCGTTTCTCATTTCCTCATGCAGTCGTAGAGCAACCTTTGCATTCCCACTCCTACAGAGACCATTGACCAAAGTCCCCCAAGTCTTAACATTTGGGCGAAAACCGAATCCGATTATTTTCCTCAACAAACTTAAAGCATCACCTAGTTTATCTTCCAAGCACAGCCCTTTGATCAACGAAGTAAACGTAACAATGTTTGGTTTGTAACCCCTCTTAATAATCCCACCCACAACAGCAAAACCGAGACCAACTCTCTTCAAGTCACAATAACAATTAAGCAAAATGTGCATCCCAATGTAATCAGGCAGTAAATCAACTTCCGCCATTCGATCGAACATAATAAACAAATCGCGGTACCTCTTCGATTTCGCAACTGTGCCTAGCAACGTGTTGAATGATGAAATTGGTGGCTGGGTTTGCAACTGAAGCATATCGTCGAACGCCTTCAGTGCGTCGTTTACAACTGAAGCATTTTGGTCTGTTTTGAGTGATTTTTGAAGCGGGATTTGTTGGGGTTGCGTTGAAGGGATGGAATTTTGTGAGCGTATGATAATAGTTGAAAGCTCACCTCTTTCGGAAGGTCTTAGAATAAAAGGTTTTGCAGCAGAAGCTGTTCGACGAGCGTATGTACTGGAAACCATAGCTCTCTGTCTACTTAGCTCTGTCTACTCTGTCTTCGTAAAGGCAAAGTGGATTTGTTAATTAAGTTTCTATTTTGGGCTGGGCTTTAAATTAGGGCTGGGCTTTCAATTAGGGATGGGCTTTAAATTACGGTTCCAAATTTACAAATAGCTCAGTGATTTAGGTCTTTCTTTTAATTAACGAATAAGATGAAGATCAACGGTCACAATTAAAGGCTTTATATTTTGGATTCTCTAATTTTAATAAGTTTTAGTTACTAAATTGTAAGGGTTAACACTTAACATCAAAGTGCTATCATCTAGACGAATTTATCAATTTATTTTTAAGATAAAGAAATAAATTTATGATAAATATTATAAAAACGAGGTTGTTAATTTATCAAATATAAATTTATAATAAAGGTTATATTATGTAGGGTAATGATATATGCAGGCCAAATTAAACATTCAGGCATTTTTTTACCATGATTTTTTACCTTTTTACCATAACTATTTACCTTTTTACTATTCATATGCACAAAATCGGACTTTTTTTTATTCATGTGCTCGTGTGAATTTACGCGAGCACTTGGCAAGTGCTCGCGTAAATTCACGTGAGCACATTAACATTTTTTTATTTTTTTTTAAACCACTCGAGTGATAAACGGCCAACACATGGGAGAAGAGCTAGTTAAGCCTGGCGAGAAAATGGCCGAAGGTCAAAACGGGCCAGAGAAACAACTAGCCATAGAGAAAATAGGGATTGAGAACAAAT